CCCCTCTCTAGTCTTCCCTGAATCTATGATCCTGAATTAGGTAGTGAGTATCAAAGCCTCCAGATGGTACCTGTTCTTACACCATGCACAAGTTTAATCCCCTGCTGGATCCAGGACCTCCTTTTGCCCAGGTGCATAGCCTCTCCCTGGGCTGGAGTGCTGTACATCACATTACTGGTCAGGCCTTGTCCCCAGTGTCCTTAGCCTTTTCTGTCTCCCTAGGCTGACCTGAGCTGGAAAAATGACTTACTGTGATTTTTTCTTTGATGTTCCAATCAGGATTCTGAGTGATACATTTTCTGTTTATTTGGAATTTTTTTTCTAAGGGATGGAGGGAAGCTTGCTGCACTTCTTCCTGCTGCACCATCATCTTGGCTTGGCCACCTGTTTCCTTTTCTTTTTAATTTTTTCTTAAAATTAGCCAAGGCAAATGCCCTTATCACTCTCCCACCCCACTTCCAATCGAGAACTTAAGAAAAACAAAACCTATTACAAATGTGTATAGTAAATCAAAACAAATTTACAAATTGGCTGTGTCCAAAAAATATTTGTCTCATTCTGCACTGAGTCCTTCACCTCTCTTTCAGAAAGTAGGTAACATGTTTCATCATTAGTCTTCTGGAATTCTGGTCAGTCATTACACTGATACGTGTTCAGTACAATGGTATTCCATCACATTTATATGCTATAACTTGTTCTTCCATTCCCCAAGTTATGAGTATTCCTCCAGATTCCTATTCTTTGCCACCTTAAAGAGACTCATAAATATTTTTGTGTATCTTTAGTTAGTTTTGCTTAGGGTTAATCTGTCCCTTAATTTACCCTCCTTCTAATTCTCCATTCTCCTCTTTCCATCCTATTTCTTTTTTTTATTCAAATTTTTTCAACATCAAATTCTCTCCCCTCCTTCTTTGCCCAACTCATTGAAAAGAAAAATAAAAGCCATCATAAATATGTATAGGCATGCAAAATAAATTCCAGCATTAGCCATATTACAAGAAAAAAAATAAATAGAAGAAAATGTGCTTCAATCTGCACTCTTAAATCCATTGATTCTCTTTCTGGAGGTATGTTCATGAGTCCTTTGGAATTGTGGTTGGTCATTGTGTTGATTAGAGTTACTAAGTCTTTCAGAGTTGATTACCTTTACAATACTGTTGTTACTGTATAGATTGTTCTCCTGGTTCTGCTCACTTCACTTTGTATCAGTTCATGCAAATCTTCCTAGTTTTTTTTTCTGAAACTATTCCTTTCTTCACTTCTTACAGTACAATAGTATTCCATCACATTCATATACCATAACTTCTTCAACCATCCCCAGTTGATAGGCATCCTCTCAGTTTTCAATTCTTTGCCACCACAAAAAAGAGCTGCTATAAATATTTTTGTCCATATGGACCATTTTCCTCTTTCTTTGATCTCTTTAGGGTATAGACCTAGTAGTAGTATCCATGTATCAAAATTGTACATCTTGCATGTACACTTTAATAGCTTTTGGTTTCCCTCCAATTTCCTTATTGAGCGAAAGATATATTTGCACCCAGCTGTTTGCATCTGTGTATTCTTCCTCTTTTTGACCAGCTCAGATAAGAGTGAGGTTCAAGTGTCAACCACTCCCCTCTATCCCCTGCTCCTTGTTTGTATGGATATTTACTTGTGCACCCTGACTATGTAAAATCATTTTCCCTAACCTTCCTCCAGCTCTAAATCTGTCATCATCAAGATCATTATCATCATCTTCATGCATTTATTTAGTACGTACTATGTGTTAGTCACTGTGCTAAGCAATGAGGACATAAAGATCCTGTGATATCTAAGGGTCTTCCTTGCCAGCCCTAAATTCCATAATTTTATTCTACCCAAGAGGTCCATATTAAACCTTACCACTTATGTTTTGTAGATGAAAAAACATGAGGTACTAAGCAGTTATATTCTGCTGTATAACTGGAGATCATAGAATGTCATATCTGGAAGATGGACCAGACTTGTTTTCAAATCCTGCCTCTGATGTTTACTATCTGGGCAGTTTGCTTACTCTACCTGGGCCTGAGCTTCCTCCTCTGTAAAATGAAGAGATTAGACTAGGTGGCTTCTGAAGTCCCTTCCAGCTTTAGATCAAGGATCCATTGTGTGACCCTGGGCAAGTCACTTCACTACACCCAAGGCCTCAGATTCCTTCTCTGTAAAGTGAAGGAGTTAGCCTCTTGGCCCTGAGGTCCCTGCCAACTCTAGATTCTAATGATCCTCTGATCTATAAGGTCTCTTCTGGCCCTGACATTTCCATGATAGCTAGTGATTTAGTGTCCACAGCTACTCATGAACAGTACCAATACTTGAATTACAGAAATTTTTTATTTCTACTAGCCTTTTTGATTACCTTCTCAGCTAAAAGATAAAAGGTACAACAACAGAGGGGGAAAGAAGTCGCAGGTAGGAAGGGAAATGGAAAATGGAAGAAAACCTATTCATCTCTTTGCTAACATTTGGGGCTTTTTAAAATAATATACAGTAAACTGTTCATATGTTTTTTAAAAAAAAAACAACAATATTTTGAATGTTACACAATTTCCTGGCTACATACTAAAAACCACAATGCTTTCTGTTTAAGGTTCCTGTGATGAAAAGGTACCCATTGTTTCTTCACTATCAAGGAAAAAACTAGATCCAAAGAGGCCTCTGAGAAGTGGGCAAACTGAATCTTCTTCAAATGAGTTTTGTGAACATCTAGCTGACTCTGTTATTTTCCATATAATTTCAAGTGTTTTAGATGGTACCGAAGATAGCAGAGCAAAGCTGAAATACCTTGGAAATAAAATTTCAGCATCTGAGAAATTCATTTCAATTAATTCTGAAATGTTGGGAGCCCAAGGATCCAAGAGTAGATCAATTCTTATTGATGACATTGCTTTCAGTATTTTTGAAATTATTATTCGAATCCTATCTAATAGTAATATTTTAAAGGCAGATGTTACTGAGTATGCTGTTTCCCTGCAAACAAAATACATTTATTCTCCAGATATTGCTACCATGGACATTGATGATCTCTTTGAAGACCTCCTATTAGGAGTGATTCATGTTCTGACAAAAGAAATGGGAATTAATAACCGGTGTAATAATAAAGGGAAATCGCTTCCCATGTCTAAAAATCAGAGTGTTCCTATTTGCCAGAAAACTAGACCCATAGAAAGAGAGGTAAGCCAACAAAGCTGGGACCCATCACTTACTCACAGAACAGATCAACTTGTCCAGAAAAATAAAATCAGTTCTGTGGCATCTAAATTAGACAGTCTACTAGGGAGCCTAAAAAGTCTTGAATCTAACGAAATGGTGAATAAAATTTTTAATATTGTCTTAGATTTGTTTTTGCCAGATGAATGCCAAAGTGGGGTTTTGGACTCTGTCAAAGCATCAACAAGACATTTTTTTGCCTCTTCAGAGAAGCAGCCTAATAACCTAGGCTTATCTCCCAAATCCATATTCCTCCTCAATGTTGTGTGTGAGAAACTTATAAGGACACTTTTGGAAAAATATATAACCACAGACATACTGGCAAGTAGCCCTCTTTCCAAGGAATTGTCTACTGCAGAACAGCAGCTTTTTAATGTAATCCGAAGTGTGGAGGAGGAAGAATTTGGTTATGGAGAGGAAAAGGTGAGCCCAGAGCAAGCTGAGCCATTTCAAGCAGAGGACTATGTGTCAGACTTTGTGTTGGAACAGTTGGCTGAAAGTGAGAAAAAGTTGCTTTCCTCAGAATCAATGCTCAGTGTAATTTCCCATGGCTTGGTAAAATCCCTGATGGAAAAGCTGTCAAACAGCGTACAGGCAGCCCCCCCCAAACCCCAATATGCCAATAAGATTTCAAAGTACAGTGCAAAGGAAAGACTGTCCAATGCCCAAGGAGCACAACTAGCAAAAGGCCTCATGCAATCTAGGGACAAACTCACATCAGAGACTCTCAATCATCTCCGAATAATCAACTCCAAAATCAGACCACCCTTTAAGCAGTTTTCTGCTTCCTCTATGAAAAAACTGGGGAGGAAAGAATTAAAAATTAATACAGTTCCCAAAATGTTACACTCAGGCCAACTCAATACAGGTGTTTACTCAGCTACATTTTTGGAGGACATTATTTCTGACCTGTTTTCTTCTATTTATACTGCATTGTATGATCGAGATGAAAATGTCACAGAGGAACAGCTCAGTGAGATGAATACATTAATTGTCAATTCCGTGGTGAATGCATTTAATAAGACTCAAGTCACTGTGCTCCGGAATGCTGAAGAAAGGTTGTGTTTTCCACCTGTACAGAAAGAAGCTGTGACCAAAATTGTTGACTCCGTTTATAATGAAGTTTTGCAGGAATATCAATCAAAAATGACTTACGTTAATGAGAATGATGCAGCTGATGACCTCAACTTATTAGCTGAGCGGATTGCCAATGCTCTGCTGGCTGAGATTTTAGACTACCAACTCCCATCATGCTTTGTGGAAAGACTCACTCCTGAGTCATACTACCCCCTCAAAGTTGAAAATGTCCTTCAGAAGCTTCAAGAGAACCTGAGGGAGTTTGGTTCCCAAGTTCAGCCTTCAGCAGGATATACTACCATGTTGCCTCACTCATTTTTAGAGGATGTCATTAGAAAGCTGTTATCACATATCATCCCTCCATCATCTAGTGACGTTTGGTCTATGGAAAAGAAATATTTAATGAGCTCAGACTTTAATGAAATGTCTGCTTGCATAATAAACAAGGTTATGTCAGCCATTTCTAAACACAAAATTTGGCTCACCAAATATGATCATCAATATTTATATTCAGAAAGAAATCTTCAAACAATGGTTGACTCAGTTTACAATAATATTTTGCAAATCTCGGGATCTCACTCATTGATACAGAAAAGTATAACAAGCCAAAGTCCCATCATTGTTGACAGAATAGCCAGTTTTATTATTCAGGAGATTACTGAAAGTCACCTTCAGCCCTTTTTGTCTGGGGATAGTGTCTCTCAATCAACAACTGCCACTGATGAAGTGTCCACCATGGTTAAAAATGCGCTCTTATTTCGAATCTTTCCTTCAGCATCTGAGATGGTTCCATATCAAGAAGATCTAAAAGATACATCTGGAGTTAATTTCAATGAAGTTGCTTCAAAGCTAATCAGCGATATCCGGAAGAAAATTTCAAAACATGAAATTCGATTTTCCAAAGATGCAGAAGAACCACAATATATTTATTCAGAGGATGATGTCCAAAATCTGGTTGACTATGTTTTCAAAAACATCTTGCAAAATTCTGGCTCTCGAGAAGCAATTGAACAAGAGATAACAAGCAGTAACAATGCTTTCATTAATCGAGTAGCTGGTTTTATCATTAGAAATATTTGTCAGCAACACCTTCAGCCATTTGTGTCTGGAAAGACATTTCCTCCACTCCAAATATACCATGTTGGTGGGCGAAGGCAGTTGTTACAGTTTTATGCTGGTGTTTATTCCTCAACATTTTTGGAAGAAGTAGTCTCTGGAATTTTATCCAAAATCTTTTACAAGGTAATGGGTATTGCACATGCCAAAATAGGAAGAGAACCTGAAAGTGAACTGGAGGAGACAGCTATTCGACTCATAAATTCAGTATCAGAGGAGTTTGAAAAAGCAGAAGTAAGCATTCTAGAAAATGCTGAAGAGGAATTAGGTTTACCACAAGTAGATAGGAATATCATCATTAAGATAATTGACACAGCTTACAACAAAGTTTTGCAAGAATATGACTTAGACCGAGCACTTGATAAAGATTTTTTTAATGACACAAAGACTTTGGCAGAAAGGATAACCAAAATCATTCTGGCAGAAATCTTTGATTTTCAGCTCCAACCAGATTTGGTCGCAAGGCTACCATTCAGATCTCTGTCAAATCTCAATGTTGATGTTTTGCTTAAGAAAGTTCAGTCTGAAATTAACCAACCAAAACCTCAGAGACAGACTTCAACAATATATACAACTATGTTATCACATACTCATTTGGAAAAGATAGTCACCCAGCTTTTATCACAGATGTCCTCAGACTCCAGAGCAGAAGATTCAGTTACTTCAAAGCCTGATTTAAGTAAAACTGTTGTGAAATTGATCAATGAAATCATGACCATCATATCCAAACATGCCATCTGGATTACAAAGCATGGAAATGAAAAACAAAGTATGATTTCAGAAACAGATATTGAGAATATGGTAGAATCCATTTATGCTGACATTTCATGTTCAAATCTCTACCAGTCTCTTACAAAAGATAAAAAAGACATAAATAATATACCTGTTTCCAAAATAGCAAGTTTCATAATCAAAGAAATTTTTAACCATCATCTTCAGTCATTTTTATCTCAAGAGCAAACCCTTTCTCAATCTACAGCTGACTTAACTAGGAAACAGACTGACAAAGATGTAGAAATTGACCCAAAAGAATTGGCTTTCATCGTTAACTCAGCTATATTTTTGGAGGAAGTAATTTCTGAGCTTTTATGCAAAATCCTTTATGCATTCTCACATAATTTCATCTCATCTGAGGATCCAAAGTCTAAAACCAAAGTTACTGACATTATTACAAAATTAGTCCAATCAATTGTGCTTGAGTTTGCAGCATCTCAAATTTTGGTTGCTGAAAATTTTGATGAAAATCTGTGTTTTTCTGAAGGGTATAAAGAAATTGTTAGTAAGATAGTCAACTTAATTTATGAAAAAATAACAGATGATTATAAATCTCTGGATCTCATTTATGCAGACATAGAACATGACACTAATACTTTTGGAAGGAAAATATATAATTTACTTTTGGGAGAAATTTATGATTATCAAGTACAGGGATTAATTTCTGGAACATTATCTTTGTCTACTTATTCTTCACTTAGAACTGAGAACATTATTCGAAATGTACTAAATGTTATTGGCAAAGAAAGCCATTATTTGCCATCTTTCATTACTGTATTACCTCGCTGTCTTTTGGAAGATATGGTTTCCAAACTTTTAGGTCACATTTTTCCTTCATCTGAAACTAGAGTTCAAATAAAAGAACAAGAGGCACCACCCGATGATGATTTTATGTCTGCAGCATCGAGACTGACTGATGCTATTATAGCTGAAATTTCTGAACATGAAATTAGACTGACCACTGCAGAGGAGAATGCCTCACATATGAATCTGGAAACTATTGAAAGCATAGTTGACTCAATTTGCAAAAATATTTTGGAGAAAGCTGAATTCCAAGCTGAAGTCCAGAAAGAGGAGAGTGAGAAGGGAGGCACGTTCCTCACCAAAATAGCTGTCTTCATTATGAAGGAAATTGTAGATCATCATCTCCAGCCATTCTTACACGAAGATGACTCTGATTCTGGTGAAGCATCTGATAAAGAGTCTGTTGCTGATGTTCTTGAGCAAGAAAAAGAAAGACTGAGCACACCCCAGCCTTCCCTTTACTCAGCAACATTTTTAGAAGATGTTATTTTTGATCTTGTTAGAAAATTGTACCCTATCCCAAAAACTCCTGAGTATGATGAAGATGAAAGTACGAAAGAGACCAACCTTGTGGGCATGGCTATCAAATTAGTAAATTCTCTAATAGGTGAATTTCGAAAAAGTGATATTAAGGTTCTCCCCAATGCTGAAGAATTGTTTTCTTTTCCACCAGTAGATAAAGAAACTATTGATAAAGTGTCTGATTCTGTGTATGATGAGGTTGTTAAAAAATATAGATCTGAGGATGTTCATCATGATGAGGAAGAAAGCAACATTTATATTGAAATGATAACCAACTTAGCAAAGAAGGCAATCTCGGCTTTCAAGGTTAAGCCCCTTTTTTCTGGAGACTGGTTTTCCCCTTTCTTTTCATTTCTAGAACCAGATAACATCACTCAAAGAGTCCAGTTTCTGCCACCAAAGATCCCATTTGATAAAGACATAAGGGATGCTCCTATCAAAGATTTTTCACTGAAAGATTCCCTTGTAGTTGTAAATCTAGCTAGAAATATAAAAGATGAAACAGATCTGGGCACAATAAGTGAAAAGAAGGGTGAAGAGAAGTTTAAAACTATATCTAGAAACGATGACCAGGATTCAGTGTTCATTTCTCTAGCTAACACTATGAAAACTAAAATGTGTGCCCTGGAATCTGCAGATTGGGATCTAACTGACAAAAAGGAAAGTGAGAAAAAGACAAGTGAGAGCCCAATTAGAAAAGATAAAGACAAGGATTCAATACAATTAATTTCTGTAGCCACCAGTACTAGAAGTAGTATAAAAAGTCACCAGGACCATGGTTGGAAAACATCAGATAAAAGGAATGATGAGAGTTCAGCCAAAGAAGACAAAGTGGATGAGTATAAGGAAGAGTCAGTAAAAGTCTTTGCACTTATGAAAAGCAAGATCCCAGAACCAGATTTCAAGAGAACACCTAAAAGCAGTGTAAAGAAGAAAGAGCACCATTTGGCTGCTGAAAACAATGATAAACCAATACAATACATTTCTCCAGTAAAAAGTAAGAAAACATCAGAACCAGTTTTAAAATTATCAAGTAGTAAGAAGTTTGAAGAAAAGAAAAAAGACATTTCAGTTGGGACAGATGATGATGAAGGGGCATTTAGGTCCACTCCTGCAGTCACTGCATTGAAAAGTATGAGGACTTTACATGATCCAAATTTCAAATCAGCCTTTAAAAGCAAGAGAGAGAGGTGTGTTCAAACAGATACTGAAGATGACTCAAAAGTGTCTTTTGAAAATGTGATTGAGAATATTTACAGTAATGTTTTGGAAATGTCTACTCAGACATCTCTAGATGATACCAGGTATGCCAATGTCATTCCTGCCCAAACAGCACACGCTGAGAATCTTGGCCAGCCTTCACCAGTGACTTCATTGCACCTGGTTCACAAGGATGTTCCTGACAAAGGCAAAGAGGTGAAGAAACACCTTCCTGATAATGCCAAAACATCATCCTATTCACCTGAAATGAGATTGAGTATTTTTTCAGCTAGATTTTTAGAAGATGTTGTCATTGAGATTGTAAACAAACTGATCTTTTCTTCTTCACCAGAAACTTGTGAAGAGTGTAAAAAAATTCAGGATGATGTAAATCAGACTGAGCTATATGAAACAGCAATGAAACTGATTGATTCCTTGTTAAAAGAGTTTTCTGAAGCCCAAATTAGAGTATTTAGACCCACTGAGGAAAAGCAACCTTTGCCTCAGGAACCTAAAGTACTGATTGAAGAGAAAGTGCCAGACAAGCATAGTTCTGTTACACGGGAAGGACTAACTCTCCAGAGAACACCCTCACCGCCTAAAATACCACCTGTGCCCCCCAAAATCTTGGTTGATAGGGAATCGTGTACAGATACACAACGCTACATTGATTATATGCCACCAGTGAATAAAACATTGGTCAGTAAGGTTGTGCACTCCTCCCTCTGTAATGTTCTGCATGAATATAGATCTCAAGACTCAATTTACAAAGACATCAATGATAATGATAAGTTAGCCAAAAGATTAGCTGGTGCTGTAATAGAAGAAATGTTTCAGCATCAGCTCAACCTACTACTACAGGATGAATTGCCCTCTGAAGTGTGCGTACCTCTGGAATCCAAGGATGTTGTTACAAAAGTACAAAAAGTCGCCAAAAAACACACCAAAAAATGTCAGACTTCCTCACCATATACCATCGTGCTGCCTCATGAATTTTTGGAAGAGATGATTTCATCTCTTCTAGCCAAAATTTTCCCATCAGGAACCAAAAAAAGTCTAGATTCAGAAGTAGAAGGCGACAGTCTTTTTACCGAACTGAACTTCCTTCAAATGAAATTAGTCAGCAGGGTTATGACAGAAATTTCAAAAGACGAAGATATGATAATACAATATGTTGAGTGCTTACACCCCAATGATTATGAAGTAATTCAGGTAGTGGTACAGTCTGTTTACAGTAATCTTTTGCCACAGTTTGGCTCTCAAGAGGTCATACAGAACTGTGCAACAAGCGGATGCAGAATGCTTTCTGAAAGCATAGCTGACCTAGTTATACGAGAGGTTGCTGGCAATCAGCTGCAGACATACTTTTCTGGAGAATTAACACCCCACCAATGTGCCAAAGTTGACAGTGTTGTTGAAAATATTCTTAAAGATACCTCCCAGAGCCCTGTAGGTCTTCCAACTAAACAAACCTATGATCATAAATTACCTTTGAACATCCTAGAAGAAATTGCAGTACAGTTTTTATCCCGACTTTTGTCTGTGTTCCCCATGATAGAGAGGGAAAGAACTAAGTCTTTGGAGGCTGAATTGGAAAAAATCACCAACAAAATAATAACATCACTGAAAGAGTTCATATCAGAAAGTCCAATTAAAGTTGTACAACAGGCTAACGAACCTCCCACATTGGCTAAAGAAGATAACCAGGCTATTGAAAAAGTAGTTGATAATGTTTATGGTAGTGTTTTAAAACACTCTGGCTCTCACATTTCTATGTATAAAGATTTAGTAGGGAAGAGCAATGTTCTAGCTGATATAATAGCCTTCTTAATGGTCAAAGAAATTTCCAACCCTGAATTTCAGCCTTATATGGAAAGAATCCTTCATGAGGAAAAACGCTCTCGGGGGCAAAAAATCCCCCTTGAGGAAAAATTTTCTTGGGAAGAAAGAATCCCCAGTAAAGAAAAATTCTCTTGGAAAGAAAGAATCCCCTGTGAGGAAAAATTCTCTTGGGAGGAAAGAATTGCTCGTGAGGAAAGAATCCCTTGTGAGGAAAAATTCTCTCAGAAGGAAAGAATTCCTCGTGAAGAAAAATTCTCTCATGAGGAAAGAATCGCTAGTGAAGAGAGAATCTCTCATGAGGAAAAATTACCTTGTGAGGAAGAGACATCAGGTCCTCAGTTGGCACTAGAAGCTGTCAAAATTATGGAGAAAGTTCTTAAAATTCTTGATGACATTAAGTCACAGGAGAAACCTTCAGCCCCCAAAATTCCAGTGTTGGATGCCTCCTTTTTGGAAGAAACATTGGCATTATTCCTAGCAAAAATAGTCAAGTTGCCCTGTGTTGCAACCAAAGAGGCAAAAAGCTTATCCAAACCTGAACTGAATAAAATTGCATCTCAACTCACAAAATCAGTAGCTGCTGAAATTTCCAAAAGTAGTATTAATCTTGTGGCTGCTGACTCTGAAGTGTACTTTATGAACCCAGAAAATATTGAAATGATTTCTCAGGTTGTTGATTCTGTTTATAGTAATGTTTTGCGACAGTCTGGAACCCAAGAGGAATTCTTTCATGATATAAAAAGTATGAACAGATTTTTCCCCAAAAAAGTAGCTAGCTTAATAATCAGTGAGATTTCTCATTGTCCCTCAGAATCTGTTAGCTCCCGTAGTTCAGCCACTGATGTCGTCAATGATCTGGATGTTGACCGAATTGTTAAAAAAGCCAGTGATCATGCCACAAAAATGGGCTCTGTGCTATTAAGAGAAGATGATTTTGGGGGGGATGACCTGCCAATTAAAATTGTTCCTCACCTTGGAAATAAGCCGATTAGAATAGATCCAGCCATTGTTTCTCAACACTTGGCAGTAATTTCACTCAAAACTCAACCACTGGAGAAACTGAAGAAGCAGTGTTTGTCAAGAACTGGACATAGTCTGGCAGAGCTAAGAAGAGCTTCAATAAGTGGGAGGACCTACTCATCAGAAATAGTTGACATAGAATCAAGGAAAAAGGAAAGACGGATCTCTTTGGATAAAACAGGACGGTTGGATGTAAAGCCCTTTGAGGTAAGCAAAAACACAATGGCCAAAAAAAAATAATAATAATGAGCAGGCATTGCCACTGGTATTGCTTTTGTCTGTAAATTATAGTCAACTACATAACTTGGCATGATCAGAGAATGAGGTGTTCTAGCTAATCAAATATTCTGCTTAACCCAAAATTACTACAACCAGGTGTGATGCTGAAGTAACACACTTGGCTTCCAGGAACCTTGTGTGAGGCTCAATCTTTATTACTTTAGCATCAGACCATGTACAGTGTGGACTTCCGATTTTCAAAGAATGAAAATATTCCATAAGATATAACACTAAAATTAGACTCAAAAAAAATTGTTCTTTCTTTGATGGTTTAAAAAGAACCTCAGTATCTTGCAGTGCCTCATGCCAGAACTGGGATAGATATTAGTGCACCTTGGTTCTCCCCAGGCAAGGTTTAAAAAATTGTGTCACCCTCTGTATTGTTATCCACCAGAGACTTCAAAATCTGCATACCAATCCATGTGACTTAACCTGTCACATACATTTTTAAAAATCCCTGTACATCATGGAGGATGGAATTTTCTGGAATTTTTTTTTTTTTTTGCGAGGCAGTTGGCGTTAAGTGACTTGCCCAGAGTCACACAGCTAGTGAGTGTTATGTGTCTAAGGCCAGATTTGAACTCAGGTCTTCCTGACTCCAGGGCCGGTGCTCTATCCACTGCACCACCTAGCTGCCCCCTGGCATTTCTAAAAAGTCAGATTAAAATGGGTCTTCCACCCCCAAGTTGTGCCTTCCTGCTTACACTAGTCACACCTCTGCCTCGGACTCCTTTTTATGAATATCAATGATCATATTACCAGAAAAGTGTAGATGGGCCATCCTTCACATGGAAAAGGGGGAAAACAGGAGGGATCTGGGCAAGCTAGAGAATTTGAATATTGTCTGTTTGGAAGTGGTGCAAGTTCCCAGAATGACTGAGACATGAATGTCCAAATGCAAATACAGAAACACATTCAAAGTCAAATAGAAATAATTTGGACATTCTCTACCATTATGGATTTTCTGTACCACTGTTCCCCTTGACTGTCACAGATAACTGAGATTTGACTATGTCTTAATTTCTGCAGAAGCTGTGATGGCACTTTGGTTTATAAAATAAAGGCATCATAAAATAATGGCTAGAGTCAGAAAAACCTGAGTTCAAGTCCTACTTCACACACTGTGTGATCCTAGGCAAGTCAGTTAACCTCTCTAAATGTCAGTTTCTTCATCTATAAAATGGGATATGGATTAACAGTACTTATCTCACAGGGTTGTTGTGATGATCAAGTACAATAACATATTAAAGCAATTTGAAACTTTAATATGCAACAGAAATGCCAGTGGTGACTATTATTACAAAATATACTTAGGGCACCATTTATCTTAAAGCTACCTCTTGGTGCTCCAAAGTGGTGCTAAGATCCAGAATTACATTTTTAAGTAATTTAGAGGTTCAGCATTAGCAAAACCCATGAAAGCAGAACAAAATCAGGTTATTAGGAGCCTAGACCTAGAGCTGGAAGGGTCCTCAAAGGCCAACTCCCTCATTTTACAGAGGGGGAAACTGAGGCCCAAGAAGCAGAAGTGACTTTCCCAAGGTCACACATAAGATCCTAGCTCTACAGCTAATAGGGATCTCAGAGTCTACCAATCTAACCCTTCATTTTACACATGAGCAAACTGAGGCCCAGGGAGGTTCAGCAACATAACTCATTTCTATAGTGCTTTAATGTTTGCAAAGTGCTTTCCTCAAACAATCCCAGGGGACAGATAGAAACAAGGGAATAGGCTCCAGGAAGCTCAGGTTGTGATACAGCTCATGAAGTGTCACAGCCAGAATTCCCACCTGGTCCTCCTAGTCACCAGCCTGGTTGGTTCTCTTTATACCATACTGCAAAACTCCTTTTCCTCATGCTCCATTTAATACTGTAAAATGAAATGTGCCATTTGAATTAGGAAGGAAGGGAATGTTAAAATGTATTCTTCTTTGAGGCGATTTTTGGAAAATAGGTTCCAGTGGTAAAGTGGAGCAGGGAGAAGAGGGACCTTATTAAAAGCCTTTCATATTTTCAACTTGCTATTTGCATTTTTTAAAAGAATCCAAGAGTACTCAAGACTTGTCCTCCTTCAGGGAAATATCTGCATTCTGAACTATCTATGGGTTGGTTTGTGAAATCATAAGACTGCCAGGGCAGATGATGGAAAAACTTCAAGGAACAAAGTATATTCATTTCAGGAAAAGCAATGGGTATATAGCTGATGGAGCCCTGGATTTGGGGTTAGAGAGCCTGAATTAGAATCCCAGCTCTGCCACTTACTACCTATGCAATTATAAATTGCTTAAACTTTCTGGGCCTCAGTTTCCTCCCTTGTAAAATGAAAGGGGAGAGGATAGCATGTAGTAGTAGACAATAAGGAAGACCTCAATTCATAGCCTACCCCTGAAGGTACTAGCTATGTGACTGTGGTCAGGTAATTTGACCCTTAAGTGCTTCAGGCACTTCTCTGACAGTAAATCTTTGTTGTTTTTTTTTTCAATTTTAGTATTTTATTTTCCCCCAATTACATATAAAAAACAATGTATAACCTTTGTTTTTTACAATTTTGAGTTCCAGATTCTCTCCCAATCTCCCTCCCCCATTGAAAAGACAAGCAATTTGATAGAGGTTATACATGTACAGTCATGCAAAACATATTTCCAGACTGGTCACGTGAAAGAAAATACAGACAAACATCCCACCCACCCTCAGAAAAAAAAAAAAGAAAAAAAGTAGGAAACCAGTATGCTCTGATCTGCATTCAGACTCCATCCATTCTTTCTCTGACAGTGGATAGCATTTTTCATCATAGGTGCTTCAGAATTGTCTGACAGTAAATCTTGCCTGATCTATATTGGTGGTAGGAATATCCACACTAGGAGTTCCCCTCAAGCTAATTAAATTAGAAGTGCAAAACTTGAACTAGGTGTTCTCTAAGGTGCCTCTAAGCTCTTACTACTATTATTTCATGCATAGTGCATTATCTTGGCTATGGAAAAGATAAAACTCAAGCAGTAAAAATTAGGAGAAAAAAAACAGAATTCATGTTACTCCCTTCTCTTCAGTGTATCAAACAAATTGTCATAAATTAGCATGATTGTGAATATGGAAAAAATGTAGGAAACCAAACATTCCTTATACATTTCATGTTTCTTAGAAATACTACAGTGTATTAGTAAACATGATTTAATAGTAAATCATTTTACTAAATTAAAACTAGAAATCATGTGCAAATCATGTATTACAATAAAAGCCTGAGGAAAAATACCCTGGGACAGTAATTTTAAATATTCACAATCTCTTTAATTTCAGGTCGTTTGCAGGAACTCATTTCAGAATCTAAGAAAGCCTGATATCACCAGGGTGGAACTCTTAAAAGATGTCCAGAGCAAAAAGGACCTTATTATTCGTCTAGTTGCCCATGATATTGATGAAGACAGAGATAATAGGGGGGATGGTGGCTTAATCTCTGACGAGGAAGAATCTGATTTCAGAGAAGTTGTTTTAAAAGAAGAGTGTGCCCTTGGGCTAATGGATATGTCTATGAAGGATGAGGAAGAAGAGAAAGTCCCAGAAAGTAAAGTCAGTTTACCCAAGTCTTCACTGAGCTCCAGTAGCCTGAAAAAACTATTGCCCATAAGCAAGTGTTGTCAAGCTACTTCTACTACCACACCAGAAAAGATTGAAACCTCTCCAAGTCAAATCAAGGAAGCAGAAGTCCAAAAAGTGCCAGACGAGCCAGAGAAGCCAAATGAGCTGGAAGTGCTAGAAATCCCAGAAGTGGTATTGCAGAAAGTGAGGTGCTTACCCAGGAAGCATCCTTGTCAAAGAGCGTCTTCTGACTTAGAAGAAAAGCCACAGTCCTCCGTAAGTGACAAACGTGACCACAAGTTACTTTGGCTCTCTTATAAAAGTGGTTAGTTTCTTGATTTTGGAGAACTGAAGCCTCTCAATCCTAAGAGGGGCACCTTTGAATTGGCAGAAAAGTTAATATGTTCCTGGGCAGCCTCCCCCTGATTTATGATCTCCAAGGTTCCTTCCATGTCTGAAATTCAGTGATTTCACAGTGTCACCACAGTGCCAATTCTATTATCATACTGTAAATAATTCCTTCACTAAATCCTCCTCTGATGCCTCATTGGGACATGAAGGTGCAAGCCCAGTGACAGATAGGGAGTGTCTGTTGTCTGGAGGCCTAATTTAGGTAATTCCTAGAGACTCAGAGTCAGGATGGCCACACCTGGATGAAATTTTAGCCAAAGTATCACCCAGAGACATTGAAATCTGTCAGCAAAAGGAGCCCCTTACCCTTACTACCAACAAAATCCTATATCCTCGAAGTAGTGAAGTATGCTGTAGATGCTTAAAAGATGAAGCAACACTGACCTTAGCTGGGGAGAAAGAAACATGGAAATCGAGGCCTTGAGAAACGGCAGTAGGACATAGCAGACAAAGCACTAAACTTGGAGTTAGGAAGATGTGGGTTTAAATCCTGTCCCTCGGATTTCACTTCTCCATCCCTCAGTTTCCCCCTCTGTAAAATAAGAAGGTTGGACTCGGTGACATCTTGGGTCCCTTCCAACTCTAAAGCTATAGTCCTGTGATGAGCCTAAGAAGCATTAGAAAAATAGAAAATGGGGTTCCCCGTGCCAAGTGTAAAAAATCATCTCCAAGAGGGCTTCCAACACATTTGGTCTCTACTCTGGAGTTGTAGAGTGCTGAGAGTTTTCTGGACAGGAATGCCATGACTGCAAGACAGAGCTGGGAGGGTTGAGATCCATCTAGCTAAGCCCCACCCCCAATCTGAGGCCTCAGACCATTCGTTCTTTTTCCTCATTGTCTTGTCCTCCTCATGCAGGGTTTATTTTGGTCTCTCATGCTTTTACCTTTTCTACACTGTCCCCACCACCCTTTCACATGATCCAATAACATTAGATGTGTTCAGTAGTGCTAGAGCTACAGGGGTGGTTAAGGGTATTTCTATGATAGATTTTTATGAGACTTGCTTAAAACTGTGCTTTGATGCTTTTTTCTTGTACGTTTTTTCAGCAAGAAGAAGCGAAAACCATTGTTGCAGAGCCTTCACATTATCTGATACACAGAACTATGAGCTCATGCTCATACAACCAAGAGATGCTTTCCAAAGGGTTTGGTTTGGTTTTTGTTTTTTTTTTACAAATAAGTTTATTTTGACCTCCTGTGACAAGCACAAGTGTTCTAATGTGTAAATAGCAACATAAGAAAAAGACATTAGAAGAGCAAGCACAAGGGAACTCCCAGAAAGATTGTAAATGATCATCCTAATGTCCCTTACCTTTTGTTCTTTAGCCTTTAGTAAGCTCACATTGAAAGATATCCACGTTGCCTTTAGCTCTGTGGTGACCAAATCATTTTACTTTTTTCTGTGATCCCTTTTGAATGTCATTTCTTTTTCGTATGAATTTGTTGCTTATTGTTGTCTCTAATGACATAGTTGTAGTCAGCGTGTATGTTGTTATGTTTTTCAGCCGGCATCACTTTATACCTTCCCATGTGAAAGCAATACAAAATAAGACTTGGAAATATGTTGAAGTTAGATTACAGGAGGCTTTACATGTCATTGTAAATACATACATTGTATTTTATTCTAGAGGCTGGAGGGAATCACTGAAGCCCTTTGAACTGGGCAGTGATATGGGAAGACTGCTTTAACTACAACTCAGAATCTTTTTTTTTTTTTTGAGACATTGGGGGTTAAGTGACTTGCCCACGGTCATAGAGCTAGGTAGTAAGTGTCTGAGGTCCGATTTGAACTCAGGTCCTCCTGACTCCAGCGCCAGTGCTCTATCCACTGCGCCACCTAACTGCCCCAATCTTGTTTTCTGTCATTTGACCATTGAACCTATCACTCTTCCATCTAGGACTCTATATTTTGGCCATATTTTAGTAGTTTACTGTTTTTATTGTGTTTCTGTAAAGGTAGCAGAATTTGTTTTCCAAATTTATTTGTAAGTTTTTTAATACTCAAATGTGAACTGTTTTGGAAAACATTCCATGAAGGTTTGGATAAGTGAATTCACTTACCTAAATCTTTCACACTAATTTTTCTAGGATCCTATTCATGTCCATAATTCCTTTCCTGTTTATTAGTTACCTTCTTTAAAAATGCAGTTGCTATGCTGTTAGATGGATAATATTGGTATACTTATGAATGGTACATTTAAGCATGATGTAGTACCCATGTTTCTATCTCATAATGCTTTGTAATTTGCATTCAGCCTTACTTGATTATCATGACTGTAGGTTCTGATTTTCTGGAATTAATAGAAGCACTTTTGGGGGCCAGGCCTGTGTTTTCTCCAACCTCTGTTTGAGGGTTAATGGTAGCTAGGGAAACTCCATTAATGCAGAGGAGCAACTGCTCTGTCATTTATAATCTCAGAGGGTTGTTTGGGGGCCCTGAAAGATTAGGGACTATTCCTCCAGGGTCATACTGTTCGTATGTGTCAAAGACAGGCCTTACCTGAAGCATAGTAAATCTTATTCCAATTTTTCATTTTAAACCTGTGTCTTTGGGTGTTGGGTGTGTTTCCCAAATGCAACATAAGGTTGTCTTATTTTTTTTAATCAATTGTGTAACCCTATTCTGTTTAATAGCAGCAGTCAATCCATTTATAGTCAAAGTTATAATTGCTAAATATGATTCTGTCATACTGTGCTAAATTAAGTTTTTATCAGTAAGGACTGTGCTCTACCTTCATTCACTAGAATTAGTCCCAAACCCGTCTTACACTTATGCATGGGAGAACACACTCATTCATCACCAAAGATGGATCCTAAATTCTTACTATTCCCTCTCAAAGTTTTTCAGTGGTTTCAGTCTTCCCTCTTTCCCCCCTTTCCTAAATGGAAGTGCCACTTTGGGATTTCCCGTTCTTCCCTCTCCCTCAAGTATCCATTTTTTTTGTAACACCTGCAATAAAAGAATTACATCGTCTCATTCCTCCTTGCCTTTTACTTTGCTGCCACTGGGAATTGTTATAATATATGTATGTATTTTTATATACATATATATAGATATATGTGTATATGTATATATGCATATTTCCATATATGTATATGTGAGTTTATCTATCCATCCACACATTCATATACCTATACATTTCGTTTACTCTTTCTCCCAGCCCCACCCCCAGCCTGTTTGGGCCTTTAGTTGTCAGTGGAGACAGCCTGGCTGCTGCCTTGCTATTTGTTCATTGAGCCAAAGCCACTGTTGCCTCTATAGTGATGGAAGTGGAAAAAGGTTCAATTTTACAATCTATCATTCTAGTGTCTCTCTCAAGGTGGTCTCCTTCTACCCTGAGACAACTACAGATCACACCATTCCCTACCCTTTGTGTTTTGCTAACCCTGTGTAATATTTAAATCTAAACCCCATTTTTAGCCAGCCAGGGCTGAGGTTCATAATTGATTTGCAGGGGCAGCTAGGTGGCATAGTGGATAGAGCACTGGCCCTGGAATCAGGAGGACCTGAGTTCAAATCCAGCCTCAGACACATAACACTTACTAGCTGTGTGACCCTGGGCAAGTCACTTAACCCCATTGCCTAGCTAAAACAAACAAACAAACATAATTGATTTGCACATCAAAGGTCCTGGCTAAGCTGGCCTCCTTTACCAGTAGAAGTTCTTGGTTGATTTGTGTATCAAAGGTCTCACTGTGGCTTACTTTTGCCAGTAATTTCCTATCTTGGAGGAATAACTGGTGTTTTTTGATAAGTGGTGTTTTTCATCTTATCTGCTTGTAAAAATCTTCTGTCAGGGCAGCCCTAGTGTTTGACATCAGTGTGTTTGGGTGAGTTGAATCTGGCATTCTTTCCTGTTGGTGTCTGATGCATTGCCTATTTTATAGCCTGTCCTTTGATCTTCCCATAATTCTGGAAATTTTTCTTGTATTATTTCAGTCTGCTAGTAGTCAGTGAAACATTTATTAAGTGCATACTATGTGCCAAGCACTGTACTAAGCACTGGGGATCCAAAAAAAAAAAAACCAGTCTTTCAAGGAGCTTACAATCTAATGGAGGAAGCCAACACACAAAATAAGCCAAAAAGCAAGGTGGTGGGGAGGGTAGCCAGGGAAGGTACCCCATAGGCATAGTGGAAAAACCAGAGAAGTCCTCGAGTAGTGCAGCCAGGTGAGAAATGATTTCCTGAAATATGATGTCGAGACTCTTCCTTTCTTCACAGTTTTGAGGACGTGTGACGGTTCAGCAGTTGCCTCTCCGCAGCCAGTCGTCTTTACTCCAGGTGACTTTCCATCACGTTTTGCAGCCTTTTGGTCTTCTAGTAGAACAACTGGATTTCTCATTTACTCCTGATTTTTGTCTCAGTTTTCCACAGGCCTCTCCATCTTTATTTTCATTATCATTCTATCTTGTTCCCCTTTTTTTGGGGGGGGGGGATGCCTAATGACAGGTCTCACCAGTTCCTTATTTCCCTGTGTTTATTATCAAATTTGATGAGTCTTGTGAAAGTTCTGGATTTGTTTCTGGGACCATTGTTGGTGCTAGTTCATTCTTTTTTCCTTTTGGTATCTTTTCTTTGAATTCTTTCAATACAGAAAATATATTCATCATGTTTTTCAGTGTTATTTGCCCTGCTTGCTCATTTCCTTAACCATTCCTTTTCCCTTTCTGAGAGTTTTTTTCTTTATCTTTTCGGGATCTTTGATTGTCTTTTCTTCCTACCTCTTCTTCTTCCCCTTTTAGACATTTCTACCTCTTTTCTTCTGGAGGGTACTGGGTACCTGGGCTTTCTAATACCATCTTTCTGAAAAGGTGGAAACTTTCAGTTATACCAATATTTAAGTAGGAAACTAAGTGAAAAGAAGAATTGTTTAGTGGGAAAAGCACAGGCTTTGGAGAGAAAGGAAGTGGATTTGATTCGTGCCTCTGCTATTTACTGGGTGGCACTGGACAACTCTGCTTCACTCTCTGGGCTTTTTTCCTCCTCTGTAAAATGAAGGGATAGATGATGATCTCCATAGATGATCTCAAAGGCTCCTTCAAGCTCTAAATGCTCTGATCCAATTTTTATGTCCTCAACAACACTACAAAGCAAACAAAATTTTGTACCCTGTCCTCTCAAGCACCAGGACCGTTGTGGTACACCTTGGCTATCCAAAACCTTTCCCCCGACTGTAGTTTGCTTTCCCAGTATGCCCCAGCTTCTAGATCTTTCCCTCCTTCCAGGGCTGTCATTAACAGCAAGCCATAAGAACACCCACACCACCTTCTGGGAGGAAGAGAACATGCTTCACTCACCAGTTCTTCCCCTGCTAGGCTCCACCCTCCATTCCCTACAGGGATGTAGCCCATGAGCTGAGGTTTACTTCCTCCCTACCACTTGGTGGCTGCACCCCAGGTGATTACCCCCTCCTACTTGGCCCAAGTGCTCAAAGCCAAGCCTCCCCAATGGTTAGTAGCTAGGACTAGTAATAATAGTCAGTACTCTGGAATTGGCAGCAGTGGAGGTAAGAGAGGATGCAGATAAATCTAAACCAAGGTTAATCCAGATATCACTGTACTTCAGTTCTACAACATTCTGCTTGGCTTGGGACCTGAAAGGGACCCATTTTTGTCATGCTCTGACTATATCAATACTTGACAAGTTGCTGTTTTAACTAACATGTAATTCCTTCCTTTACTGACTAAACAGAAACTGAAACATTCTCTCTTTTTTTCCCAGCAGAGACAGCACAGGGTCGGGCAAGAAAACAACTGACGGTTTGATTACTTTTTTTTTTGAGTTAGAACATATTTAAGAAACATTGGTCACTACTTTGATACCTTTTAAATTTGAAGTTACTAAATAATACTAATAATATACATAAAATATTTCAAAACACACATGATTTTATCTTTATTAGTCCTCCCTCCATGCCTTAGTATACTGTCTTCATGATTTGTTATGGCTGAAAACATTTACTACTCGAAGGTCAAGTTTCTAATGAGAAGGTTTCTCATACCCTTACCTAGGGTAGGCCTTGGAGGTCAGAATCTGTTACTAGGTCTGTCTTTGAAGCCCAAGAGCCAAATATCACTTTCATGTTAAGCTAAAGCATCAGGGGAAGACTTCAGGAGAGGAATACTTACAGGAACTCATGTTCATATAGCACTTGAATGTCTCTAACCAAGCACCTTACAACGAAGGTGGTACATTCATGATGATTCTCATTTTGGAGATGAGGAAACAAAGTCCCAGAGAAGGGAAGGGACTTGTCCAAGGTCACTCAGGTAGGAAGGAAAGTGTTGGAGCCAAGTCCAGTAGGGGAGCTTTTGAACCTTCCACTCAACTCACCTCTTAAGGCTGCCAGAGTAGAAATCCTCAGGATTATGCCACCAGTTTGTTTGCCTTTCCAGGAGTGAATAATTTACACACACAACTCAGAGTCAACACAGCAATGGCTTATCTGTCTGAACCATTATTATAATACACTAAATGGTGCCACAGTCTGACTCTACAACAACTATGCTCTTATGACAAATATTTGACTATTCCAATTCTTGAATGGAAATACTGGAAGTATCAATGCTAGCCTGAGGGTTGTATTGGTTCCCAAAGAAATGTAAAAAAACCCTAGAGTTAAGAAGGCCTTTGGCATGACAGGTACTTCCCCTGGGGATGAGCCATGGGAGGACATGGATAAGAATGGCCCAGGTTGTGCAGGTGAGGCTGGATTAAGCTCTGCATTAATGGAGGGAACACACCTGTTGATAAGATCACAGATCCATTCAAAAAGTAGAGAATCAAACGTTCAAGGCAGAAGAGTTTGTCACACATAGATTGGCCAACACAAATGGTATGGACTTGGAGGCAAGGGAGAAGTAAGGATGTGATTATAGGCCAAGGAAAAATATCTGCAGTCTGAAGCAGCTAAAGTAGCCCAAAATCAGTAACTGGGGAGGCAGGAGATGAAGCAAACCAGCTGACCTCTCTTCTCAATGACCCTACCCTATCCTGTCAGACTGGCTGTCTATCCCTGATAACCCAGATTTCAGTGCTTCAGTTTCCTCATCTACAGAAGTTGTGTGCAAATATGTTGTGAGCAAAGCACTTAGAAAACCCTAAAGCATGGGAGTGAACCTAGAACCCCCGGGGATAGGGTTTCTCAGTGGCAACCACAAGTTAAGCTGCTGAAACGCATAAGTAGGTTCTGTGAGCTAAAGGCAAGGTAGGCTCTCATGGATTTGCCTATTTCACACCTGGGACATAAGAGGAAGTCCAGGTTTATCTTTGATGTCCAATTCCAGTAAAAGAATGTGAGTTTAAAATGCTGCCACGTTTTCCTACTTTGAAATTTCTGAGAAGCCTGTTCTATATGAGAGGGGGGTGGAGGGGGAGAAGGGAGAGAGTGAGGAAAGGGAAGGTGGGAGAGGGAGGGAGAAGAGAGCAAATCAGTATACTAGCATAGACTTAGGAGTGGAATGGAAACTCCTGAGGGGGATGTAGGGCTCAAGCCACAGTACTTGAGTTTAGCTCGACACTTTCCAATCCTGTGACTCATCTAAAGTAGTTGCAAAAGTTGAACCACAGTGCCCAAGGAAGACTGTCCATCTCCATGTCTCACTGCCAACCCCTCACCAAAAATAACAGCCTGCAATCCGAGGAGAACATGAAGTATACGTGCATGTTCCCTGCATCCTAGAATTAAATCAAAGGCCAACCCCACCCTCTCCATTTTACAGATGGGCCAGAGAAGGGAAGTAACTTGCCCAGGGCCCTGCAGAATTCCTGGCAGAGCCAGCCCTGCATCTGATCTACCGTGCTTTAATGCTATACCATGCTCCATCTTTCATAATCTCTCTGAAGGGAGCCAAGGCCAGCCCCCAACACTATCAAGGACCACATCTCTTTAGGCTTCAGCTTTACTGTGGAAAGATTCCAATTTAACTGGCTAATTTAAATTCTAGTCATGGGATGTTGGGCAAGTTATCGAGACCAAGTGTGATAGAAATTTGCCCTCTTTTATAAATGACCACTTTTCAGGCAGGGATCTTAGACTTTCACAACTTTGTGTTTTGCTCACAGTGTATCTGGAAGAGGCCGAGACACTAGAGGAAACAAGCAGCCTTCAGGTATGTATTTCAAAGTCACCCCTAAGAGTGGAGGGTGAGCTGAGACCCAAACAGTAGAATTGGCCTAAAGTGACCACATCCAATATGACTTGGAGGTCACTGAGAAGAGCCTTCCTCTGGCCCCTTCCTAGCTCCCCCATGCCCTGAAAGGCCATGGAGGCCAAATGATGTCCCCTGCAGAGAGACAGTCTGTTAATAAGAGCTCCCATTTCTCCAGCCATGGTTCTCACAGCAGCACCGGGCAGTTTGAAGAAACAAACTAAAGGAAAAGACCTGATGGTGGTCATTGTTGAAATTGGAATTCAGTCCCCAGACACTCTGGGCCTTGCTTCTCTCCTCGGTACATGCCAATGTGACTTGATTATTTTTGCCACAAGGACTGCCCCTGCCAGCTTCCTTTCTTTCTTTCTTTCTTTTTTTTTTGGTGTTTAAAAAGTTTAATCTTTTTTTCAATTGATGAGGTTTTATTTTCTCTCCCTTCTCTCATTGAAAAAAGAAAAGAAAAGAAAAAAACAAAACCCTGGTGACAAATCTGCCAAAACAAGCAAAACAAATTCCCCATATTGGCCATTTCCAAAAAATGTCTGTCTCATCCTGCACCCTGAGTCCATCCCCACTCTGTCAAAGTGGGTGACCTACTTCATCCTGAGTCCTCTGGAATCATGGTTGCTCATCCATTGCATTGCTCCAAGTTCTTAAAGCTTCCAAAGGAGTTTGTCTTTACACTACTGTATAAATTGTTCTCTTCGGTTTTCCCATTCAGTGCCATGACCCCACTTAAGGCACCCAGTGCTCTCCCCTCTATTAAAACCTGCTCGGGAAAGGAACTACTGTCATTGACTCCTTCCTATAAATGAGAGGAAGGCATTGCTTCTCCCAAAGGAATTTCCATTTGAACTGTATTTACAGTTGGAGAATAAAATGCTTTATCCTCCTAGCAAAGGAATTTCAAGCATCACTGAGTGAAGGAGGGGGGCATTTGAGTCCCTTCCTGAGCATGTAAGCTAACATATTTGCAGGTCAGGCTAGCCCTAGCTACCACCTTTGGACAAGGGCTTTCTAAACACCAAATGTAGTGATGGATGCTATGTCTTTGTTCCATGGCTCTATTAAAGAGACGTTCTCAGAGGTCCTGTGGTAGCACCATTAGGAAGGCAGAGCAATTGATCAATGGGGCAAAAGAAAAGCGGCTGCTTCCAAGTAGTGCTGAGGACACCAGGCCCTTTCTCCTCTAGCCAGTTTGTAAAAGCAGAGCTGGCCTTCACACTACAAATCTGTGTCTGGCACAGACAGTCTGGTTACTGGGTAGTTTGGTTCCTTTTCTGTTGTGTGTGTTGAGGTGTGGGGGAGGGGTGAGTTGTATTGCAAACTGCTTGAGGTCTTAAGGCACAAACTACCTAAAGGGCTAGGGCACAAATGACATTGGGTCACAAGGACAGTAGTGGCTGTGTCCTTGACAACTCCTTTTGAACCCTTCCCTGGTTGCTACAGAAGGCCCATGGTAGAGGTGACAGGGCTTTAACATCCTGTACTAGAGAAGAAGCTGATGTTTTCTTTTTCTCTCTTATCTTGGTGCAGTTTAAGGTGTACCCCAAGGAGAGTACACCAAGTATGTGACATGCTCTTCAAATACTAGCTTTATTAGCTTAAGTTCCCACTTCGGTCCCTGTGAATTGAATTTTTGTGATCATTTCTCTTCCCCAGTTTCTGCCCCCCAGCCCCAAGAAGTGGGCCCCAAACTGGCAGAAGCCTTCCATTTTGTCATTGTATGTCCCACCAGATAACTAAACTGCCATGGTCTCTCTCTGATTTAGGCTTTTCTCTAATTCAGACAGGGCTTCCCTTCTCCCATTCCAAAATGGATCATGGGATTTTGATCTTGGAGCCCATCTAGTTTAAATTCCTCATTTTACAGAAGAAACTGAAGCCCAGAAAAGGGAAGTGACTAACCCAAGGTCACAGAGGTAATACTTACAGATGAGATAGGAACCCAGGTCCTCGGTCTCAAAATCCAGGGCACTGGCTGCCACTACTCCTTTGAATGGTTTTACTTGCTATTACAGAAGATTAGTTGGGTAGCCAGGGTTGGGGTTTTGTGTCCAAGGCTTTCTTATCAACTGTACCACACTGCCCAGAGAGAGGTTAAAATTGCTCCAATCACAGTATAAATCACCTATCACCTAGTGCAATTAAGATTCTCAAGACATTTCAGACCAACAAAGCAGACTGACTGCCCAGAAATTACACTGATTTTACAAGATAAAGCCAGTATCACAGCCTATTCAAAGAAACTAGATACAACTCAGGCACCGAAGTCTTTAACACGAGACACAGAGCTTGTCTCTTTCTTTTCTCATGTTTTCGTTCACTCTCCTTCATACATATGTGTGTGTATATACATGTATACACATACATGTATCTATGTTTCTATGTAATAAATCTCTCTCATGTTGTCTACTCTCACCTTTCTGATGTTCTATTTCACTCTCTCCTCTGGCACCTGCCCCTTAGAGAGGCAGTGTGGCATAGTAGATAGTGCTAGACCTGTAATCAGGAAAACCTGGGTTCAAATTTCACCTTTGATATTTACTAGCTGGCTGACTGTGGACAAGTCAGAGGGAGGGTCTTTGTTCTGGCCTGAAAAAGGTCTCCCCCTCTGGGAGCTGTGGCTATCTCCACTGCCACCACACCATGATGACTGATGACAGCCATCTCTGGGTGAGAGGAAGGGCCTTGGCTTGAGTAAATCTTTGAAGAGGGGAGAGACAAAGAGGGAGAGAGGTGGGGGGGGAGAGAGAAGGAGAAAGAAAGAAAGAAAATACGTGTATGTTGGGGAAAAAAGAGGTGAAAGTCATCTGGATGGGAAGGATTCCCCCAATCCATATCCCCACTATTTCATTTTTCATGGTGGTTTTGTTTTGAAAGTCAACTTAATTTTTAGTAGAATCAAGTTTAGAAAAACAGATAGGCTTAAAGGATTAAAGATAAGAGACCTGAAAATAGTCCAGACCCCTTCATTTTAGAGAGGCCACCAAGACCCAGAGAGGAAATGGGACTTAGCCAACAATACTGAGGTAGTTGACAGCAGAGCCAGGCTTTAGCCCAGGTCCCCCTGGCTCTAAATTCTCTTCTTCTCATTATACTTCACTACTCAGACTAGACAGAGCCCAGGCCAGGCATCTCCAAGGTGTCTGCCTTTACCCTGTCTTATCCCTGCCCCAGACTGGGCCACGGAAGTTGTCCTAGCACATAGCAAAAAGGCAGCTGGGTACCAGGCCTGCCCGCTCAGTTTTAGCAGGCTCCTGGAAGCCCGAGTGAGAACTGCTGACCCAGGCCACTCACTGAGCAAGGAAAACACAATTATATGGAGGCAGGAAGTCGAGTATCCAAACTGGGGAAGAGTTTAGTTAGTACAGTTTGAGAAGAACAGGAAACTGTGTGAAGGGGAGATGCACAAAATGAACCTGGAATGCCAGGCAAACAAGGAGCCACTGAAAGTTGTTGAGCAGGGGAGTAACATGGCCAAATCTATGGTTTAGACAGATTACTTGGGCAGCTATGTGAAAGATGGATTGGAGAAAGGCAAAAAGAGCAGTTATAAGGACCTCAACTAGGTTTGTGGCAGTGGAAACGGAGAGGAAGGGACGGATGGGACAAATCTTGTGAAGGTAACATGGCAACTCATTTGTATTGGGGGGGCGGGGAATCCAGTATGACTCCCTGGTTTCAAGCCTACGTGACTAACAGAAGTTGGGAATCTGGATCAAAGAGCAGGTTTGGATAGAGATGGATTCCTTTTTGGACACTTGGGAGTTTGAGGGGCTAAAGAAGGCCATGGGAGTAGGAGTCCAATTTGGCCTGAGATTAGGATGTATGAAGGGGACACGTGTAAAATAAGGCCAGAGAAGTAAATTGACAAAAGACTGTGGAATGCTAATGCTAATCCTTAAGCTGCCGCCTTCTCAGGCTCATCTTAAAGCTCACATAAGGAAACCTCTGAACATGCTTTGTAAAACATGAAGCCCTAGAGAAAAGAGATGACAAAGTTAGAGGAGGGAGATAAGAGTATGAGCTTTCCATCCGCTCAAGCCAGGTTCAAGCAGCCCAAGGTCTAGCTTTGCACATAGAGGAGTTAAAAAGGGTACGACAGCTCTAACCTAGCTATTTACATTTCCCTTGATGTCTGTCTACAGGAACTCCTAGGGCCCAAGTTTCCAAACGGTCTTCCAAAGTGCTTAAGAAGGTGTTTTCAGCTCTGTCAAGGTTGTTCTCTCGATCAAGCACCACTACTGACATTGCATCAATATCAACTAAACAGAAGGACAAGCCTTTAAAATGCTTTACATACCTAATGTCAAAGAAAATTAAATATATTTAAAAGCAGTCAGTGTGTGTCAAAGGAGTGGATTTATAAACTAGAGAAGCAGAAACCTGCTTGCAAGGTTTAAGGGGGAGGGAGCCTTTGTTTCCTCATCTGTAAAAGGAGCTCGCTCCTTTCAAAGGGTTCTGAGAAAAGTGCACTCAAGAGAGGGGAGCTTTCTATCCTAACCATTTCAGAATTCCCTAAGGGTAAGGGAACACGAGGAGAGGTCATGACAAAGACGAGAGCTTTGTCTTTAAAAGCAATTTGTTGACATGCCCAGCTGTTTACACTGATGCACAACACTAGCCCAAGTATACAATTTACAAAAAGGCAGTAGAAGCCCCCCCCACACACACACATAGAGCTTATACTAGAGACCACTGGGGAGACGAGACTAACCCTACACAAAGGAAATGTGGTATAACGGAAAGAGGACAGGTCCCTAGGCTTCAGTGCTGGCTCTACTTACTAGTTGAGTGACCTTGTCGATTCTTCTTCTCTCTGGACCTCAAAACTGCCTCATCTGTAGAAAGAAGGATCTAAAGCCCCTTCCAGCTCTAACACTGTAGGATTAGAGAACAATATGAGACAGTACATTAGCAAGGAAAAAAAGCTGAGCCCCTGTGAAGAAGACTTGGGTTCAAATCCTACCTGACACATCCTGGCTGTAACCCCAGGCAACTAAGATGAGTTGTCCATCTGCATCGGTGGAGACAATGCATACCCAAAGAATTTCCCACGCTGATGAAATTACAGGTCAAGAGTAAAACAGAAAATGTATTAAATGCTAGGTGCTATAGGAAATCAGACAAAGAGAGGTCAATGTGGACTGGAAGAGAAGAAAGAGCTTCGTGAAGAACTCAAGTTGGGCCTTTGTGCAATAGAGATAAATTTTGTAAAAGAATTACAAGTAAGCCCCCACTTTTCACTGTAGCTATCCTTTCATTCAGTGGTTATACAACTAAACATATGCAATGTAGTCAGGAAATGTTATCAAATCTATAAGAAATTTTCATTTACTCACCAATTAAGCAGGGACTGGGTAAGGGACTGAACAAAGTATCAAGACGATTTGAATCTCCTCTTTTCCAGGGTCAGCTTTGTCTTCCAAACTCTACTATGAGCTGCTCTTGGGAATAGCCAGTTCAGTTTTGTAAAGCCCATCATTTGGTGCAGTGCTGTTGAATCAACCCTTTTCGTGAAGCCCATGCTAATATAATTGAGGAATTGTTTTTGATGTCTTTCCAATGAAAGAGGAATCCCTTCCCTGCCATGGGGGGCAAAATGAGGGGGTTGAACTAGATGGTTTCTGAGGTTCCTTCCAGCTCCAGACCCTACAGTCCAACAACTCAGGGCACAATTTTACTACCATAATGTTGCAGTAGAGGCTGCAACCTTAAAATGAGAAAATATTGAAAGAAACAAATTATATAGGTAGACACTGAAAAATAACGATTACAGGCCACATTCCATTTTGATACAAGCCAGATCTGAAGAGAACAGTGGGTCTGTATTGAACATTTCAAACGAATTACAGAGTAGAGGCAGCATGTCATAGTAGGTAAGAGAGCTGGCCCTGAAAGGGGCAAGCCCTGGGTTCAAGTCCAGCCTCTGAGCCATCCTGGCCATGTGACCCTGGACAAGTCACTTCACCCCATGCACCTCTTGAAGATTAAACTGAAGAGAAGATGCTGACCTGCATGGGTAAAGAAAATGTCCTCAGTCGGGAGTTCCCTTTATGGATATGTGTGGGACAGTGATGACCCTTACCCAAATTAATTCAGAGACTTCTCCAGCTAGAAAGTAGAAAGGATTTTATTTCGATCTCAAGAAAGGGCGACTCACACCGAAAGGCAGTTCGATGCAAGACCGCAGGTGGTGTCAGCCAAGCAAGCATTTTTATAGGTTCTAACCGCAACCCCTCCCTAGCCCCCTACCTCTTATCCCATTGGCTGGGCTTCAGAGGGCACAATCTAAACACGAAAAAACTACCCCAGCAACAGCAGTGGAAATTACAGAATCGTTACATAGTTTGTACCTGCCTTTCCCCTCCTTCAAGTATCCTCTTAGTACATCTTGTTTTTGTTCATTTCAGATGCTGGGTACACATATATTATTATTAGGGGTCTTTACCTTATTTTACTCATTTAAGTTTAAATTTTATGAGGGATCTTCACCAATCTCGCTCAATCCCTCCTCTTATTTGTTCATTGAAGACCTCTCACACCAGTTTTGGTTTATTCCCTCCACTATTTCATCTCTTACTTCTGATCCTTCCGGCCCAGTCCTGTCTTCCTGCTCTACTGGGGTCCATCCCTGCTTCCTTAGGATCATTAGTTGAACTGACCCTTCAGCTTTCTTTTCTAATCTAATCATCTTAGACAATGCATCCTGTGCTAATTTAGTGATTAACTGCATCATACATGGGAGACATATGGGAAGAAAAATAATTCCACTGATAGCGATCAGGAGGAACCATAAGATTTATTTCCACCAACTACTTCCAAACCAAGACCACCAGGAGGTATTAAAGGGAGAGGACCAAGTGTGAACTGGAACACGAGCCAATTTCCTGATGTCTTTAGTAATTCCTTTTACCACTGCCCCATTATCATCAATTTTTACACAACATGTGGATAGATTTAATTTTCCACATACTCCACCTTCCTCAGCCAAGAGGTAATCTAAAACTAATCTGTGTTGGAGGACCACTTCTCTGGTTTGGGTAGCCTGATCTGGTAACAGATCCAGAGCTTCTGCAGTCTGTTTAGTGATGATCTCTACCACTGCCTGGAGCCTAATTAGTCTGTTAAGGCTATAGATTGGGGTCCTATATCCCCAGCTCCCATCTTGAGCCCAAGTAGCTGGTCCATAAGTTTGGATGATTCTGGGGGCCATTCATTGCCCCACCCATTTGCATTGCCTGTGCTGGCAATAGAGGCATCTAGGGACCTTCTTAGCCCATCTTGACTGAGGCTATCATATAAAATCTTACTCCAAAATGGCCTCCCTCTCTTCCCGGAAGGAAAAAAAATTTGAGGCGGACTAATCCAATATAACAAACTCCAGCCCAATCGAAAGGGAGGTGAGTGTAGGCAGTGGGGCCGCAAATCCAATAGTGCCCTCTCAAAGCTGGCAGTTTAGGTGCTGACTCCTCCGACCACCCCCAATGTATTTTGGAATGATTCCCTACTGCTGGGTAGTAGTACATATTATAGGGCCCTAGAGGTCCACCTCCTAAGTTCTTATCCTTATACTGACATTTCCACAGGGCTACATTCTCCTCCCATTCACAGCTTGTTGTGATGAGATCTCCTGTCCGGTTCACTTTATCCCAATAATTTGAGAGGTAGTCCCTTTCCCCAGTTTCATTGGTCCAATCCCAATTTATAAAGGGGACCTCTAGAATTCCTTCTACCCCTGGCATCGGGTTGCTTCCAAAGTTCAGCCTTTTTATGATCTTTTAGGAGGACTGCCACGTCCTTTGTGCCCTTGCTATTCCATTCTTGTTGGACCTCAGTACAATTATATGTTTCTGTTCCCATAATTCCTGTAAGGGTCCATTTGCAATGACTTTCCCCTAATACAATTTTCCCTTCTGTTTGTTTCAGGCAGAATAGTCCTTTCCTTTCCTCAGTAAGCCGCCAGGAATGTTCCTCCCAATCCTCCCAAAAGCCTGTCTCACTATTTACTACAGATTTATTGCTAAGGAACCATTCTGGTTTCAGAGGAACAGGGACCCATGGCCGTTGAGATAGTCTCTGGGGTCCACCACAAATCCAACAGTTAATCAAGTTAAAATTCTGAGCTATGGTTTCCATCAATTGTTCAAACATATTTTTCTCTGCTGACCAGGATACAAGAGCAAGTTGTGCGGGGGTTAAAGAACAGATCAGAAATAATATTAAAGAAATCCCCATGGTGTCACACTCTTTGATTACAAGTAAAGTGATTATGTAAAGAAGTAGAAACACAAGCAAAAATTCCAATCAACAATATGGTTACAAGTAGAAGAGGAATTACCACACTTAAGAGGATAAGAATTCTAATTGATAAGGGTAGGGGTTTAGGGCTCATGAATCTAACCAGTGTGCAGCTTTCGCCGGAGGCGTAACTTCAATTCCCCTGGGTCTGTGGAATCGACTGTCCATTCAGCAGGGGGGGGTTTCCGGTCCCTTTACTCGTGTGTGGTGCGTCCAGCCGCGTTCTTTGGTCCGAACCACTGTGTCCGAGGTCAGCAGGACTTGGAAAGGTCCTTCCCAAGATGGGGTGAGCTTTTCTTCCTTCCAAGTCCAGATCAGCACCCAATCACCAGGCTGGAGTTTGTGAACTGGGAACCCCAAAGATGGAGTCTGGGCAATCAGCCCTTTATGCTGTAACACATTTAAATGCTTCACCAGAGAATGTACATAATTCCTTAAAAATCTATCCTTACAATTGAATATAGGGTCCTAATTTTCTCCTTTGCCACTTCCCCCAGGATATGGATGTCCAAAAAGAAGGTCATATGGGGATAATCCAATATCCCTCTGGGGTTTTGTTCTGATTCTAAGGAGTGCTAGGGGTAGACATCGGGTCCAAGGTAACTGAGTCTCTAAGGTTAGTTTAGTGAGCTGTCTCTTAATTTCTTGGTTCATTCTTTCTACTTTGCCAGAGGAAGGAGGGTGCCAGGGAGTATGAAACTCCCAGTTAATATCCAAGGCTTGTACCAAAAATTGAAGAACTTTGGAAGTGAAATGAGTTCCCTGATCGGGTCTATCCGCTCCACTAGCCCATATCTAGGAAGAATTTGTTCTACAAGGATCTTGCCGACGGCTGAAGCCCTCGCTTGGGTTGTGGGGTATGCCTCTACCCACGAGGTCAGGTGGTCAGCCGTGACCCGTAAGTACTTGAGGCGGCCAACTGGGGGCAGCTCGGTAAAGTCAGCCTGGATGCTTTGGACAGGTCTAATTCCTGGGGGTCTTCCTCCTGTGGGAAGTCAACGTTGGGCTGACTTATTTGTCCTTCAACACACAAGACATCCCTCCACTATTTGCCTCGCCAGGGTGTAAAGACCAGGAGATACATACCAGGTTAGAACTGCATCACACAGATTCTGGACATCCCAATGACTGCCTTGGTGGAGGTGTTGTAACACCTGCCTCATACTTGCTTTGTTTAATACCTCCCAACCATCGGGGAGGAACCAGTTCCCTTGGCTTCCCTTTTGGGGCCCCAACTCTTGTGCCTTGTCTTCTTCTTCTTCCTTAGAAAAGAAGGGAGGGGGTAGACTCGGAGGGAAAGAAAGGATTAGAACTAACATTGGATCACCTTGCTCAGATGTCTTATCCCCAGCTCTCTTTGCCTCCTCATCTGCCAATCTATTTCCTTTAGCTTCAAAAGTGTGGCCAGGTTGATGCCCATTAACATGTATGACAGCAACTGCCTCTGGTAACAACAAATTCTCTAATACGCATGTTAGCAAAGTGGAATGAACCAATCCCTCGCCTTTACTATTCACCATTCCCCTTTCTTCCCAAATTTTCCCGAATACATGCACCACCCCCCAGGCATACTTAGAATCTGTAAAAATATTCCCACTTTTTCCTTCTAGTAATTTTAAAGTCTGATTTAAAGCGTACAAATCACAAGTTTGAGTCAACCAATCTTTTGGCAATCCCCCTGCCTCTTCTAAGGCAAGCTGATCCCCATCAATAATAGCATATCCATTTTTCCTTTTTCCTTCTACCACTTGGGAGGCCCCATCTATGAAAAGGTTTCTGGCTCCAGGTATGGGAGACTCCTGAAAGTCCTCCCGAATCTTTGTCTGAAAATCCACTGTTTCCAAACAGCAGTGTTCCAAATCTATTTCCCTTGATCCTGTGCTAGTAAGAAAAGAGGCCAGATTCAGATTTGAGTCTTGGGTCAACACCAAGTCATCCTTTTCCAGTAATATGGCATCATACTTCAGGATCCAGGAATCTATTAACCACCTCCCGGCCCTTTGATTTAAGATATATCTAACTTGGTGTGGTACACTATCAGGCTTCCCCCAAAGGTAAGTTTTCTACTTCCTTCTACTAAGATAGCCATCGCAGCTACAGCTTGTATACATACAGGCCATCTTCCAGTTACCGGATCCAGGACTTTAGAGAGGAAGGCTACAGGTCTTTTCTGCCCTCCTCTTATTTGTGCTAAAACTCCTAAAGCTACTCTTCTTCCTGTATTTACATATAGATGAAAAGGTTTTTCTAAAGAAGGTAAGGCTAGAACTGGTGGAGATACCAGGGCCTCTTTTAACTGACAAAAACTCTGTTGTCTCTCTGGTGTCCACTGGACAGAATTAGGTTCTTCTTCCAATAAGTGTTGATACAGGGGTTTTGTTAATATTGCATATGAGTCTATCAAAGTCCTACAATAGCCCACTAGCTCCAAGAACTTCCGTAACTCTTAGTCTTTGGGGGTTCAATTTGGAGGATTCCTGCTACCCACTCAGGATTCAATCTTTTACTTCCTTCACTAATGAAATGTCCCAAATATTTAACCTCTCTTTCCACAAATTGTAGTTTCCCCTTTGAGACCCGGAGCCCTTCTTTCCCTAGATAATTTAGTAATTCAATACAGGCTCGACCAACTTTCTCTCTCTTTTCTCTTCTAATGCCCTGGCCACATATACCTTCTGAGCCAACTCTAGTAACTCCTCCACAGGCTTTGTCTAACACCCGTCCTGTTTCTGTAACTTCTTATTAATATCTGACCAAGAACTGATAACGAAGTATACCCTCAATAAGTTCTGGGCAGTGGGGTCATGCTCCCCCAGCCCAGAAAACTTCCTTTATACACTCCTTAAGTCTAGTCAGAAAAGCAGAGGGGGTCTCATCCTTTTCTTGCTTGACCCCAGGCACTTTATTCATATTCTGACTGCATTTCCAATCCCCTGGACAATCATTGTTCTCAAATCTTTCATATTTTCCCTATGGGCTGCGTTGTTATGATCCTACCCTGGGTCCTGAAGGGGGAATTTCTGCTCTCCCCTAGGTCCTCCTTGTGCTATCGGGTGAGCATCACCCCAAGCCCTCATAGCAGCCCTTTTTATTTGTCCTTGTTCTTCCCCTGTGAAAAGGATCCCTATGATTGACATTAACTCTGGTCAGGTATTAAGTACTGGGGCCGAGAAACTGATCCACTTGCTCTGCCAAACCGACAGGGTCTTCTAACAATGATTTCATCTCCTTTTTAAACCCTCTCAACTCTGAGGTGCTCAAAGGGGTGTTCACAAACCCCAATCCTCCCTGTGCTATCGGGACCTCTCTTAGGAGAAAGGATTCAACCTTGGTCTTGGAGGGGAGGGGAAAATTCTCCTGATCCCTAATTGCTTAAGCTCTCTCCTGAGAAGGCGTGAGGAGTGGATGGGTTGAAATCAATCAGGTTACTATTGGTTCCCTCCTCTGCAAGCGAGAGTGGGGCAGAAGGAGATTCCAGTCCCCCTGCAACTGCAGGCACAGCTGGTGGTGGAAGGACATACGGTGGGGGTAACAAGAGGAGGGAATCCCAAGGATGGGGCTTATGTTCTTCTAATTCCTTTTTCGGCTTCTCCTCCTCCTGTTTTATCAGTACAAATTGTCCCGCCATGGGCAGCCATAAAGCCGCGTTTTCACTTTCTTCTGAATTAAATGGAGTTTTAGAATTGACATGTAAATTTAACTGGTGGCATACCCAGTCCTCAGAGGATCTGTATTTTGGCCAGTACGTTTCCTCGGAGCGGGATGCCACCACAAGCAATACAACAGTATTTAATCATCTTTTTATCTTTTCCCTTATATTTGGATGATTCATCCCAATCTTTAAGTCTGCTCCCTAGAGGACTACGCTCCGGGATATTGGGAAGATTTTTCGTGCTAGCTACCTTAGACTGTTCCTTTCCCATGGTTCAAGAGTTCTTGGCCCCTGTCTAAGGACTCACTCAGTCTCACCAAAATTTCCAGGGAGAGGGAATTTTACAGACTTGAACCACTTAGACCTCCCCCTCTCCCCTAACAGGTCACCCAGGGGCTCACCAGATCTTGCCCAGAGGACTCACTGGATCTTGCTTACCTGGGTTGTGCACACAACTTGCGTGAGCAAAATTCAGTCTCCTTTATTCGGTGGTCTTCGCTAGCACAGTTGGAGCTCCTTTCACTTTCGTTTCTACTTTCTCCGAGTTCCTCTCTTCGGGATCCTTTACCCAACCAGAGTAAGTCCCCCCACTGAGATCCAAGGACATCGGAGAAATCTCCGGTGGGTACCTGCCCAAGGATCTTAGTGAGAACGACCCCCTCCAGGTGGGAAATTTTCCCGGGCAAGGAACCAGAAGTTGTGTGGGACAGTGATGACCCTTACCCAAATTAATTCAGAGGCTTCTCCAGCTAGAAAGTAGAAAGGATTTTATTTCGATCTTGAGAAAGGGCGACTCACACCGAAAGGCAGTTCGATGCAAGACCACAGGTGGTGTCAGCCAAGCAAGAATTTTTATAGATTCTAACCGCAACCCCTCCCTAGCCCCCTACCTCTTATCCCATTGGCTGGGCTTCAGAGGGCACAATCTAAACACGAAAAAACTACCCCAGCAACAGCAGTGGAAATTACAGTTCAAGATTACAACACTCAAGAAAGCAAGGGAATTTAGGAGCACTTTAGGACACTATTTACAGAAACAATAACAGCTTAGCTCAGGTGATTCATTTTCAAAATGAATCTTCATTTCTAGGTTAACAGAAATTGTGCTTAAGGCCCACATTCAACTGGACCTGTGTCGACTGGAATAAGATGGTTCCAGATCCCTGGAATGACAGTCTTTCTCAAAGCTTTGGGGTTTGTGTTTGTGCTTCTTCCTAGACCTGCTTTCAGAACGCTCGTCACGGTGGCGCAAGCGCTTCTCATAGCTTCGGCTTCTGTCCCGATACCTGCTCTTTTCCTTCCATCTTTTTTCCTTCCTGCTGGAGATGCTTGAGGACTTCTTATACCACGGCTTATCCATCCTTGAACCCCTCCTTGAGGTCTCTGCTTTGTCAAGCTGACCTCGGGGGAGCACAGGTGAGCCACTTAAGTATTTACGATTTTCTCGCCGATGTGGACTGGAGCCCTTCTCGAGGCTTACAGTGGCAGACCTCTCAAAGCCAGCACCTTCCTTTTCCTTTCTGATCTTGTGTCGGGATGCTACAGAGGACGATGCAGGCATTTCCTGCTTTTCCATACTCATTTTAACATCTTTGTCTTTTTTCTTACTTTTTTTTTCTTTTTTGTCTGAAAGAGTAATTATATCAACAATGAAGAAGCAGTTCTTCTATCTTCTCTACATACATAACAAACACAGATATTATGGTTCATGAACAAGAATATTCAGAAGGAAAGTATCCTGGCAGCAAAACCAAGAAGCAAATAAACAGCCTCATTATACTAAGTATCTTCAAGAAGGAGCTTCAGGGGTAGGAAAATTAATATTTCTAATCTTCCTTGTGTCAAAATGATAGACAAACTAAATATATACAAAAGATTAGTCTCTGATAAAAGCTCTAGAAAAGAAAACTCAGGGAAAGGATTAATTACTTAACATAACTTGCAAACATTGATGAGAAATGGATTTAGACCAAAATCTCACACCACACACCTCAGTGAATGATGAAAGAATGACCAATAGTGAACTATTTTTTAAACTATGAAAGAAAAGAGAATATGAGATGAATTTTTTTCCTATTTGACAAATAAAAGGTATCATCAGAGACAAGATGGATGTGTTTGATCACATTAAAATAAAAATTCTTACAACAAAAACAACATAACTGAATGAAAAAAAGATTGGAAAACCATGGCAAATATGACAGATAAAATGATATCATATATATACACACATACACACACACATATATGTACAAACATGTGTGTGTGTGTTTATCTGTTTAAAAATCACAGTAGTATCTATACCTGGTCCACAATGGTCAAAATAGGGAAATTAATAGTCAACTTGAAAAAAAATGTTACACTTCTGAGCTATGAAATGGCACAACCACTTTGGAAAGCATTTTGGAATTATGTAAATAAAGTGACTAAGATGTCCCTACTCTTTGAATCAGAGACTCCATTACTGGGCTTTACCCAAGGAAGCCACCAGTAAAAGAAGAAAGTACTCATATATTCCAAAAGTTTTATAGCAACACTTTGTGTGATAGCTAAGAACTGGAAACAAAGTAGATGCCTATCAACTAGGGAATGGCTAAAGAAATTGTGGCACATGAATGTAAAGGAGCAGTACCATACTGTAAGAAATTATGTATGTGATGAATACAGAGAAGCACAGAAAGATTTACATGAACTGATACAGACTGAAGTAAGCAGAGCCAAGAAAATAATACATACAGTAACTACAAAATCAAAAGCAAATGCAACAAAATTATAAAGATCAAACAAGAATCAAAGAGGTGTGGGGAGACAGCTTCAACTCATCCCTTCATCAAGGTGGGAGGTCTACATGGTTCTGAACTTTTCCAATGTATTAAATCAGTCCTGATTTTTTTTTCTTCAAAAAAAATTCCTATTTGTTATATGAGATGGCTCTCTGAGAGGGGAAGGGGGAAAATACTGAGGACAACTTATGATGATGTAAGAAACATAAGACATCAATAAAAACTTATTTTAAAAAAATGTCCCACCTTAAAAAAAATCAAGAATATACAAATAAAACAACTTTGAGGTACCACTGCCAATTTGGAAAAATAAAAGCAGTGAAACGCAATGCTGAAGAGATTATGGAGAAAGACAGCTCTTGCTTTATGTAAATCCACATTACACAAATATAACTTTACATAAGTAAAGATTTCTGAAAGAAATCCACAATCCAAAAAAACCTATGCTAACTTTACTGTACAGTACTGTGCGCTCTCGCTCTCTCTCTCTCTCTCCCTGCTTCTGCCCCTTGGCTCAGCATTCCATGTCATCCCATCACTCCACCAAAAACAAAAACAAAAACAAAAACAAAACCCTCCAAGTGAAAGCAGAAGAACATACCAGCAGAGAGATCACCACCCCTGCCACCAGACTGGGGCTTGGCTTGAGACTTCTGGTGCCAAGACAGGAGACCTTTGCCCGGCTCCCACCCACCTGCGTGTCCTGCCTCAGCTAATCTGTCTTCTATCTGTCTGTACCCACGTACCATGTGCCTGTCCCCTGCTTTCACATGTCACCCATCTTCTGGCTGTGTCTGTGTCAGGCTCCCACGTGGTTGGCCCTGGCCCCCATGTGTTCGTCCTCCTGCTGTCACTTCTCTGTCCCCAGCCTCCATGTGTCCTTCAACCATGTGCCAGCCCCCTCCCTCCATAGACATGTGGTCCCCACATCCACAGGCAAATTCACATGGCGTAAAAATTGCTTTACATAGAGGTTTGTGGAACAGTCCACTTACATAAAGCAAGAACTGTCTGTACACCATTTCACTGATGGCAGTAGAATCAAAAAATGTTTGGAGAACTCCTAGAAGTACGCCATGAAAATTATGAAAACAATCATAACCTTTGTCACAACAATTCCACTGTTGTAAAGATACTCTGAAAGTATGATTAAAGACAACAAAAAAGGAGCTATCTGTTCCAAGATTTTCACAGCAACATATAAAATTACAAAAAACTAGAAGCAAACTAAATGTCCCACAATAGGAGATGAGTTAATAAGTAAGACACAAGACATTATTGTAATAGAATGCCCCAATGCAACTAAGACTAACAAATATAAGGATGCAAAATCTAGAAAGATCTTTATGAAAAAACACAAAGTAAAAAATGACGAGCCAAAAGTACAGAGTAAACAAAAACTATAACTTTATGAGAGGAAAAGTGGATGAGGATAAATGGACAAGGAATCCTGAGGGAATGACTGAGCAGTCATAACATTTTATGGACTAAAACTGAAATAGGATTATCAAGCAAATTGAATTAGTTATACTGAGATTGAATATTAAGTTGATAATTCTTAAATAAGTGCTGTCCTAAAAACAATTTGAAGTCATCAGGGCAGCATATATGATCAAAATTAACTAGCAAAGCAACCAACAATCAAAGGTATATGTTTTGACATCCAAAATTTCACCTTTCTGATGCTTTTTCACGGGCGTCTCATCTTCAGAAGATTCAGATGAACTAGGAGGTGGGGTTTTAACCTCAAAGCCCTTCTCCCAGAGCTTTCTGGTTACATCGTCCAGATTCCGAGAATCCTTGGGGGGCCTATAATTAGCCACATGGTCCACTCGAATGGTTCTTCCTCTTATCTAGAGCAAGAGTATTGATATTATCAGTTAACATTTTCAGTTAATGCATGATACTCAAACAACTACCCAAAAGCCCTCTGACCACATCCACTACTCAGGCCATCGACAAGGCACTAAATGATATCAGGGAAAATAATGAGGATTTAGACACACAAGTAATAAACTATCCTCCAACCTTTAACCTCGACCAGCAAGAAAGAGGTCTGCCACTAAAACTAAGTGCAGAGACCTGGCCAGGTGACAGCTGGCTTTTAGGATTCAAACATTTAGTAAACACTGCTGAGCACAGGAATTGCTCTGAAGAGATATGTTTAGATAAAACAGACCCCGTTACCATGCAGATTATAGTCTAGTAGACAGATCAGACACAAACACTAATACTTCTAAAATAGAACATTACATAGTAAGTGCATTAGTGAGGTACAAAACCAAGTGCTGAGTGAGGTCTCAGGGAAATCAGTTGCCATTCAGAAAGGAGAGGCATCACCTGAGCTGGGGTCTAAAGGATGAGTAGGAATTCAATCTAACACAATCCAATCCCACAAAGCACCTACTACATGCAGAACAGTGCACTTGGTGCTGGCAAGCCAAGATTCAGCAGGGGAGGGAAGGAAGGTATTCCAAACACAGGGAACAGCCCAAAAGCACAGAAGTAGGAGAGCATGGAGATGTGCAAGAGACCAAGCGGCCCAATCTGGCTGAAGTGTGGTCTGCAAATGAGACCGATGAGATAAGCCATTATAATGAAAACCAGGGGAAAACCCTACCATCCCTTTTCCTATACTACCATCTTGCTCTGTTCTGATTTTTGGGCCAGTCTTCCATAGAATCAATTAACCCACTGTTTTAATGTACAACAAAAGGAAAAAAGGCTCCAGGCCTATGCAGACAACAGGTCCCCTGCACACACCCCCTTTATCCCTGTGGTCGCTAGCACCCTACTGACCTTTGAGACTCCTGGCTTGCTTGATTTCCAAGTTTTCAAAAACTCTCTTTCCATCACAACATCCCCTCACCACCACTTGTCCCCTACAGTTTCTGCCAATTTCATGTCTCTCCTGTATTCAAAGACCTTGTCACAGGAAGAACCATGCCCATCATGATAACAAGGCGAGCTTTACCACAGGCCAGGGGTTCGTAACCTGGCTCCAGGATCCCCAAGGAGGCTAGAGAGATTTCAAGGGGTCTGTGAACTTGAATGGGAAAATAATCACATCTTTATTTCAAAATAACTGGTTTCCTTTGTAATTCCACATATTTTCTTTTATGCATTTATGTTCTGAGAAGGGCTCCATGGGCTTTCACTAGAGGGCCAGAGGGGTCCAGGACACAAAAGAGGTTAAGAACCCCTGCCAGAGGATCATTCTCCATAAAGAGGACCCAGGGGCTACTCATAAACACTCCTATCTTCCTGCTAGTTGGATGGTTCTCTGATCTGCTATGTGCGCTTCTGGTAGAAAAGACTTTAGGAATCTAGAATGACACAGAGCTGGAAGAAACTTTGGAACAAGTTCATTTAATCCACTCCTCCCACCCCCTATTCTGCAGAGGAGGAAAGTGAGGCCCAGAATGAGTGGATGAGCAGCAAGAAAGAAGAGAAAAATCATGAACTGATAACTTCAAGAGCATTCTACTGGCTCATTCCTACTGCCTACAAACATGCTCAGGTCTCCAATATCCTCAAAAATAAATAAATAAAAAAAAACTATTTTCCTTATTCCTTCCATCCCCTCAAACTACCACCCTTTTTATTATATTCCTAACAAGAAAAGTCTAAACTTACTGCCTCTACTTTCTTACCATCCATTCCCAATTTAACTGCTTGTAATCTGGCTTCTGACCTCATCATATTAATAATTCATTTCTATAGCACTTTAAGGTTTACAACATGCTTTCCATACATTATCTCAGTTGATCCCAGGGAGATGGGGACTCCAGGGTCACCAATGACCTCTTAATTATAAATGTGGTAGCTGTCACCATTTGTGACTTTTCTGTAGCATCCTGCACTCTTGCCCAAGCCCTCCCTCCAAAGGTCATTCCAATGACCTCCAAATGGTCATTGGACCAAATTGGTCAATGACCAAAATGTCATTCCACTCCCTTTGGCCTCCATGACACTTGTTCTTTTCCTGTCTGATCATTTCTTCTATATCTCCACTGGTTCACCACCCCCTCTCCCTCCAAAGCTCTGTCCTAAGCAAGGCCTCTTTGACTGACTCTCTCTCTCTCTGATCTCTTCCTATCTCAAGAGTCCTATTATTGCCTCTTTCTCCACATGACTCCCAATCTTTCCACTAAGCTCTATCCCCACAGTGCTAAGTGGACAGCTCCACTCAGATTCCCACCAGAACCTCAAGCTTAATATATCCAAAATGAAATTCACGGCCCCATCCTCCACTAAACCTACTCCGTGACTCTCAACTGCCCTCTGTTCATTACTATCCTCTTAGTCACTCAGGCTTAAATCTCAGAATAATCTTTGACTTGCCCTTCTCCCTCAACCCCAACCACCAAGCTGCCAAGTCCTGACATTCTAACTCCAAAACATTCAACATCCAACACCTAGCCTTGCACATAGTAGGCTTACTGAAATGAATCAATCCAATCTTTACTGCTCACACACGTACTTTCACCACCCCAGTACAAACTCCCATCACCTCTTGACTCAATTACTATAAGAGCCTCCTAATTGGCTGCCTGACTGCCAGCCTCTCCCTCTCTAATCCATCTTTCTCACAACTGTCAAAATAACCTAAGGCACAAATACGTCTGACTATGTCATCCCACTGGCTCAGAAAAATTTCAATGGCTTCTAGAAGTAGACAGAGTTTCCAGCTATGTGAATGAGGCCAAGTCACTTAACCTCTCTGAGACTCGGTTTCCTCATTGGTAAAACTAGCATAACAATATCTGCCAGGGTCTCAGGGTTCTTACAAGGCCCCAGTGAGTTCAGATCTATAAAGTGCTTTGCAAACTGTAAAGCCTTATATAAATGTCAGCTATTATGATGACTATAAATTCTTTGCCTCGGTATTTATCTGGCGCAAGCCCACATTCCCAGTCTTCTTCCTTGTGTCATGTCTCCTCCTCCCTGCTTCATGGCCTCCATGCCTCCAGCAAACTGGGCTTTGAACATTCTGTAAACAACCAGGCCGTACCCTCATAGAACAAACTGCCTGAGAACAAGAACTACATTGTTTTTCATCTTTGTGCCCCCAGGCCTTGGCATAGACACTGGTGCACTGTAGGTGCTTAAATTTATTGTTGAATTGGTCATTTAAAAAAATTTTACTTTGAAGATTTCTAAAAATGAACCAGGCCCTGCCCTCAAGGAGCTGCCATTCTATAGGTGGAGACATGTATACACATATGATACACAATAAATACAAAGTTATTTAGGCAGGAAGGACACAAGTGGGGGGGGGGGGTCCAAAGTAAGCATTTGAGTTGAGTTTTGTAGGAAACCAGTGATTCTAAGAGACAGAGATGAAGAAGGACAAAAGAAAATGCCATGGGTGAGGAATGGCAAGAAGACCCAAGAGTACATGAAGACTAGTAACATCTAATAAGGCTAGAAAGACAGGGTTAGGGAGCCATATTAGGAAGGGCTTTAAATGTCAAACAGATCTGATCCTAGTGGTAGGAGGGAGGCACTGGAGTTTACTGAGGTATGAGTGACATAGTCCAACCTATAACTCTGACAGTCATGGAGAGGACAGGTTAGAGAATGAAGAGAGATGGTAATAATCCAAGCAAGAGGTGACGAGAGACTGTACTCGGATGGGAACCATGAGAACAGAGAGGAGGCAAATGCCAGAGGCGTCGCTGACACAGAATGGACAACACTGAGCCATAGATTGAGGGAGAGTGAGGAGTTGAGAATGACTCCCAGGTTGCAAACTCAGGTGAAGGGAAGTATGATAGTGCCCTCAACAGAAGTAAGGAAGTTCAGAAGGGTTGATTTGGCAGGTGTGAAGAATGCTCAATTTGGAGTCAGAGTACTTGGGTTCAAATCCCAGTTATGCCACTTCCTTCCTGTACAGGCTTGGGCTTGAGTCACTTCACCTCTCTGGGCCTCAGTTTCCTCATCTGAAAAGTGAGGAGTTTGGACTAGATGAGCTTTAAGGCCCCTTCCAGCTCTAAATCTAGAATCCTAAGAAGGAATATGCAAATTGCATGCAGACAGAGATTTTGCATATACCACAAAGAAGCCCAGAGAAAATTCAAAGACAAAGGATCGTAACAATAGTGAAAGCCCCCATGTCTTGAGCACTTTCAAGTTTAATAATAGAACAATAAAGCTCACATTTGTAGAGCACTTTAAGGTTTACAAAGTACTTCACAAATATTAGCTCATTTGATTCTGACAACAATCCTGGAAAGTAGGTGCTATTTCACTGAACCCCATTTTACAGATAAAGAAACTGAGGCAGCGGTTAAGTGACTTGCCCAGGTTCACACAACTAGTAAATATCTGAAGCTAGATATGGACTCAGGTCTCCCTGACTCCAGGCCCAGTGCTCTAATCACAGTGCTGTCAGCTGCCTCTTATACACTACAGGTGCTTAATTTGAATTGAATTTGTCGTCAAACTCGTAGCTTAAAAAATGTTCACTGTAAGGATTGATAAAATGTTTTCCTCACAATGCCCTTGTAAGGTAGGGAGTACAACTATCATTACCTGTATTTTCCATAGGAAAAAACTGGGTTTCACCTCCAGGAAGTAATTTGCCCGAGGCCACAGAGCCAGTACATTTCTGAGATGAGATGTGAATCAGGGCCTCCTGACTCCCAGGCCAGAGCTGTTCCTCCTTCAACGTGCTGTGTGTTTCCCAATCCCTTCTCTGACCAACACACCAGACATATCAGGGAGGGAGCGTGTTGGAGTTGGAAGGGGATGATGGGGAGGAGCCTGCTTGAGAAGAGAGAGTATGTGCAATAGTGGAAGAGGGCTAGGGAAGAAGCAACAAGTCCCTGGGTTCTGAACTTCAGATAAGCCACTCCCTCTCGAGCCTCAGTTTTTTCATCTGTAAAATCAAGGGCTGAACATATGCAGCACAGAGTGCTGGGCCTGGTCTCAGGAGACCTAAGTTCAAATCCTGGCTCTAACATTACTGGCCGTGTGACCTTGGGCAAGGCTACTTTCCACCTTCCGGGGATCTGGTGCCTCTGATAAAATGGAATGAAGATCACCACTACCTACCCTGTTGTGAAAAAAGCATTCTGTAAACTTTGCAGAGCTAACAAAATGGAGGTGGCATTAGTATTAGCTAAACTCTAAGGTCTCCTTGAACTCTGAATTTGTATGCCACTACATCTAAGGGCCAGAAAGGTGGCAGGACTCAGGGCCTGCAGGGGCTGGGCCTCAGCCTATCTTCTCCCACGACCATAGGCACAGCAGCTCCTCAACACTGTGCTGTAGTTAAGGCACTGGCTGGCAAGGGCTGTGGTGACTAAGCAGGTATCTCTAGCACCGATGAGAAAAAACAAAATGAAGCCTGAGAACTTGAAGAGACATACTCACCTTGATCCCATTAAAATTATCAACGGCCAAAATTGTGCTTCTCTGATCCTCGTAGCAAAGAAAACAGAATCCTTTGGATTTTCCAGTCTTCTTATCTCGTACAAGATTAATGTTAACAATTTCGCCATATCTATTGATTTTAAAAAATGGGTTAGCTTCAGAGGGTAGGCCACTAGGTAAAGCATTTAAATGTCCACACAAATTAACTCAAGATGAATGTCTCTCAAGGCATGGAGGACTTGAAATCTGTGTCAATCAATCAATAAACATTTATTAAGCACCTAGTAGGTGTCAGGCACTGTGCTACAGAAAGAGGCAAAAGACAGTCTCTGCCCTTAAACAGCTTACAATGTAAAGGTGAAGACAACATGCAAACAAATATATACAAAGCAAGTTATATACAGGATAAATGGGAAATAATGAACAGAGGGAAGACACCAGAATTAAGAGGGGTTGGAGGGGCAGCTAGGTGGTGAAGTGGATAGAGCTCCGGCCTTGGAGTCAGGAGGACCTGAGTTCAAATCTGGTCTCAGACCAGACACTTGACACTTACTAGCTGTGTGACCCTAGACAAGTCACTTAAACCCCAATAGCCTCCAAAAAAAAAAAAAAAAAGAGGGGTTACGAAAGGCTTCTTGTAAATGATGGCACTTTGGTTGGGACTTAAAGGAAGCCAGAGAAGTCAAGAGGCAGAGTTGGGGAAGGGGCACATTTCAGGCATGGGGGATAGCCAGAGAAAATGCCTAGAGCCAAGAGACAGTGTCTTGTTTGTTGGTCAACTAAGAAGCCAGTATCACTGGACTGAAGAGGATGTATTGGGGAGTAAGTTGTAAGAAGACTGGAAAGGTACAAGGGGCCTAAGTTATAAAGGGCTCTGAATGCCAGACTGAGCATGGAGGTGATGGGGACTCACTGCAGTTTAATGAATTGGGGGGGGGGGTGATTACATGATCTGACCTGTGCTTTAGGAAAATCACTTTAGTGGCTTAATGGAGGATGGATTGAAGTGAGGAGACACTTAAGACAGGCAGACCCACTAGCAGCGTATTGCAATAGTCCAGGCGTGAGGTGATGCGAGCTTGAACTAAAATGGTGGCAGTGTCAGAGGAGAGAGGGGGGCATATTTGAGAAACGTTGACATGGACAGGCCTTGGCAACAGCTTGGATATGGGGGGGGGGGGTAAAAGTAGTGAGGAGCTGAAAATGATTACTAAGTTGTGAGCTGGGGAGACTGGGAGAATGATGATGCTCTCAACAGGAAGAGGGCAGGGTTTAGGGAGGAAGATAAGTTCTGTTTTAGACATAAGTTTAAGATGTCTACTGGACATGTCAGTGAAGGTACTAACCCCACCAAGGAAATCATGGATCCTGAAAACATTCAAGTAAGAAGAAATAAACACTCACCAATCACCATGGCGATAATAATAACCAAGGCAATCATAGACTAGCCAATTTTGAGTTAGAAAGGACCTTCGAGGCTACCTAGCCCAACTCACTCATTTTCCAAAGGAGGAAACCCAGGTCCCAGAGGGTTCAAGTAACCTGCTCCAGATCATGGAGGCAGTCCCAAGAACAGCTGAGATTTGACTCCACAATCTGACTCCAGCGCTCCTTAAAACACATCCTGAATAGCTACCCTAGGCCATGGGTGCCATACTCTGCCCCCCTCTTTTTTATTGGGGGTGGGGGGCCTGGGGAGAGGGAAGGGTAGCAGATATGGGATTTCCTCAGTGGTGGTATTTCCTAGTGAGGGAACTTTCTCCGTACCTTCTCTGAAATTTACAGATTTACTTAAGAGAATGACCAGAACACTGAGCCTAAAGCACATGGGGTGACATGACACAGCCCTATGTCAGAGGCAGAACTAGAACCTACAGCTTCCTGACCCCAAGGTCAGCTCTAGCTGCAGTCCTGTAATTGGGTCTTTTAAGAATCGGATCAGCAGAAAGGCCTGGGGAAAAAAAACCTTAATATTGTAGAACTCCTTTGTCATGCTGGTTTCAGGTAAAGAAATATCATCCTCTTTAAAGCCCAATGGTGTGTTTATTCATGTGTATAAAAATCCATATGGATGGATACAAAAATACACACACAGAATAACACATCATTTTTCCACCATCCTCAGGAAATGAGGTATTTCGCATAAGTGAATTTCCTAGAAAACAGAAGCTTATCTCCTTTTAAGCAATTGATCTGTGTGTGCAAAGGACACCTTTACCATATACACAATCTTGTGATTACCACTCGATAGTCCCTGAGCAAAGAGCTGAATGGAGGAAAGAGGTGCTCCCAAAAGGCTGAATTGGGAAGTCCTTCCTCCACTGTGAATTCCCAAAGCTCACAGACTAAGAAAAGCACCTGAGAAAGAGCACCTCTTCCTCTCTGTCCCTCCTGTATGGTTCTGCCCATGGGGCTTCCCAAATCACTGCTACTGCAGCGATGGAAATTTCACTAACTCTTGAGAGTCGACTAAGTACTTTCCTCATAGTCCCAGGATGGGAAAGAGGCAGTTTGAGTGTCCCCATTTTACAGAAGAGGGCCAAAGAAGTGAAGGTACTCACCCAAGGTCACAGCTATGAAGAGCTCAGACTCAAACCTGGGGCTCCTGCCCCAAGATGCTGGCTAACTCACCTGATCATTCTCCCCAATGCTGGTCTGTGGTCCATGGAGAAAGAGAGCAGACCTGCTCATCACACTGCTAACACCCAAAGGTGGGGACAGAGCACTGGCTCTAGGGTCAGAAGACCTGTGTTCAAACGCCACATCTCATGCTTACTACCTGTGTGACCTTGGATAAGTCCATTAACTGCCCTGGACATCAGCTTCCTCAACTGCAAAATGAGAGTGTTGGACAGGATGGCATCTGAGGACTTTTCAAGTTCTAGCTCTCATTCCCTACCCAGAAACTAGTCCAACATTTAAATAAATGCATCTTGTTCATACCAACTCAGACAGAAGGTAAACTAAGATGAATACGATATTGCATATCGGAGAAACAAAGCAATACAGGCACAGAACGAGGTAGCCTTTGGCAGACATGGTCAATGTGCTCATTTACTTTGCTTAGCTGTACTTTGTTTCAAGGGAGGGCTCTACTAGGGGTAAATGGGGAATAAGTGGGAAGTGATAGCAATGGAAAAGAGTGCCAGTAAGATATCTAATCATTTTTAATGAATATCGTAAAACCGTACTAATCTGAAGCAATGGGAGCAGTCTGAATCATAGTATATTTTTTATGTTTCAGCTGCCAAAGTGATTTGCCTAAAGTACAGATCCAATCATATCACTCCCCTAACTCAATAAATTCCGGTGGCTCCAGGATCAAATACAGAATGCTGTTTGACATTCAAAGCTCTTCACAACCTAGCTCCCTCCTACCTTTCCAATCATCTTATACCTCGCTCCCTAAGTACTCCTTGATCTCCTTACACTGGTCTCCTGGCTGTTTCATGTCCAAGACGCTCCATCTCTCTGCTCCAAGCATTCTTTCTGGCTGTCCCCCATGCCTGGAATGCTCTCCCTCCTCAACCGTGCCCACTGACTTCCCCGGCTTCCTTTAAGTCCCAACTAAAATGCCATCTTTTACAAGAAGCATTTCCCAATCCCTCTCAATTCTAGTGTTAATCATTTCCTATTTACCCTGTATAAAGCTTGTTTGTGCATGTTTGTGTGTTGTCTCCCCCTCTAATTTGTAAGCTGTTTAAGGGCAGAAACTGTCTTTTGCCCCTTCTCATAGCCCTAGCACTTAGCACAGTGCCTGGCATCTTGTAGGCACTTAATAAACATTTAATGATTTATTAACATTATGAAGTGAACTGTCTTTACTTCCAATGAAGTCCTCCTCTGATACCTCACTGGACTAAGTGGGCTTCTCGAAGGATATCCTGGCAGAACACAGCTTCTGCTAAGTCCTGCCAAGCTAGAAAGACTTTGAGAAGGGCCCAATAACAGACCACATGTCTGCTGTCCATTTTAAGTCATTCTGAGTCTACAAGTCCTTATCAACCTGGCTGCTGGGGGAAGCTGAGTCAGAGTAACTCAAAGACAGTCCATTGTAAAACAGGGTCAACAATGACACTTGCAGCACCCTGAAGCTTTGTAAACCTCCAAGTACTAGAGAAGTGTGGGCCGTACCACTAAGGAGTAGGGGAACTGTAACCAGCATGAGGAGAGAGTAAGCATACAGACTACTAAGAAATTTCAGGGTCCTAGAGGTCTAAGTCATGACTTTGCATGCACTTCTGATGCATTTATCAAGCAGGGACCAGACAAGAACCCTTCCAACTCAGATTCTAATTCAAACTCAAGCTGACTGCTAACAAAGTATGGCTGAGTCTTTGTGAAACAGACTGGCACAGAGGACACAGAGATGGCCTCAGAGTGAGGATGCCATGAGTTCACCATATACATATGGCTGTGTGACCTCACACATATCCAAGTCACTTGACCACTCAGTGCTCCAGACAACTCTTGAAGACTAAGTTGCAGAGTAGAAGATGATCTTCATCAGTAGAAGGTTCCCCACCCAGGATCATTACACACCGGTAAAATTACTGCCCTAGGCCAAAAAATACTTATTTGTAAAAAAAAAAAAAACAAAACAAAACAAAAAACCACATTAATTGAAATGACCAACAAAATGGAGAACAAGACATTTTTTCTCGACCCCCATGACTTCTCAAATCTCTCTAAAACCTAACTTATGCACCAAAGAGAAAGTAATTTCAGCTGTCCCCATGATCTAGGACACCTAGAATCCAAATGAAGGAAAAAAGCCTCTATGAACTGAGGCCTACTTGAAGCTCATTCACCACCCCATCCCTACCTGCCACCCCCCCAGCCCCCACAATACCAGCAGCAAGACTGTAATAACTCAAGGACCCAACACACGAACTTGCAATAAAACACAACCCCACACCCTAGTCCCCTCTCCCTTCTTCCAGTGCCATGGACATTCAGGTTTCAGGTTGCAGACAGTGTGCAAGAAGCAGTATTCTGTAATGCAAAAGATCACTACAGGAGAGCAGATGAACAGAGGAAAGGGGGGAGGCCAAGACACATGGCCAGGACTGAAATAGAGGTCAACCCCACATCTCCCACAACCCCTTCCTCCCAGAGCCCTGGAGATCC